TCCATATGTATAAAAAAAAATTGGTTTGTGTACCCATGGAGTAATTTAAATAAGACCATCTCAAAGATACCTGAAAACATGGTGAAAATCCATCCAGCTATTTCCTATGTTGCAGTAACAGTAAACATAACAACAAGTAGAACTTAATATTATTTATAGAAATGGCAATAGTTCTGCCCTAGGAAAAGAATAACAAGCACTTGAGTGAATCACAAATTTGGCCGTCTGTGGAAGTCAATCCAATTAGTCTGAATCTACTGAGAGCAGTTGGAACAGAATACTAGTAAAGAGAGATTCTTATACTGGACATTCACTATAAACTCAAGAATTGTGTTTCCAAAAATCATCAAATTTACTTTTCTCTTATGCTTTCAATAACTTGGGGGAGCCCCCGGTGGCACAGTGGGTTAAACCCCTGTGCCGGCAGGACTGAAGACCGACAGGTTGCGGGGAGAGCGTGGATGAGCTCCCTCTATCAACTCCAGCTCCTCATGCAGGGACATGAGAGAAGCCTCCCGCAAGGATGGTAAAACATCAAAAACATCCAGGTGTCCCCTGGGCAACGTCCTTGCAGACGGCCAATTCTCTCACACCAGTAGTGACTTGCAGTTTCTCAAGTCACTCCTGACACGACAATAATAATAATAATAATAATAATAATAATAATAATAATAACTTGGGAATCCTGAAAGCTCAAAGATGCATCCTGGGTCATTTTTATTGCCGTTCTTCATGATACATCTTCTAATTTACAAGCTTCTCTAATTGTGTAAAATGACAGTATCTTGGTGTAGAACTTAGCTTCACCCCACAAGAGATCTGCTAGGCTAGGGAATGCTGGTATTGAGTAATATTAGGAGCCTACTGAGATAATAGCTGGCACAGCACTTCTACTACCTTACTGGTTTTACTCTTTATTCATTTTTCCTAATTAGAAATATTGGAAGAGAAGAAAAGCAGACGCAACTGGCAGCACTTCAAATGGCTGCCTGAATCTAGAAGTCAATTGGAGCCTTGACATGTCACTGAGTGTGCAACCAACTTTATTTCTCCTTTGCTCATCTCAAGAAGCAACAAAACTGAAGACTCTGTCTTGATTTCCTGTCTTGAATCTCTACAAGTGAGATGGGAGAGTTTGGAAGTTAAGTTTAGCCCTCTGGGGTAGATGTTTACCATATCTTATTTTAAAAGCTACACAGGGTTTTGTTTTTTTGGGGGGGTAAGTGGGGGATTTCACAGCCTGTTGCAAATTCAAACTAACAGGCATTTGATTACTTACAGTTCCTTATGTCATAGAATCATAGAATCAAAGAGTTGGAAGAGACCTCATGGGCCATCCAGTCCAACCCCCTGCCAAGAAGCAGGAATATTGCATCAAATCACCCCTGACAGATGGCCATCCAACCTCTGTTTAAAAGCTTCCAAAGAAGGAGCCTCCACCACACTCTGGGGCAGAGAGTTCCACTGCTGAACAGCTCTCACAGTCAGGAAGTTCTTCCATGTTCAGATGGAATCTCCTCTCTTGTAGTTTGAAGCCATTGTTCCGTGTTCTAGTCTCCAAGGAAGCAGAAAACAAGCTTGCTCCCTCCTCCCTGTGGCTTCCTCTCACATATTTATACATGGCTATCATATCTCCTCTCAGCCTTCTCTTCTTCAGGCTAAACATGCCCAGTTCCCTAAGCCGCTCCTCATAGGGCTTGTTCTCCAGACCCTTGATCATTTTAGTCGCCCTCCTCTGGACACATTCCAGCTTGTCTATATCTCTCTTGAATTGTGGTGCCCAGAATTGGACACAATATTCCAGATGTGGTCTAACCAAAGCAGAATAGAGGGGTAGCATTACTTCCCTAGATCTAGACACTATGCTCCTATTGATGCAGGCCAAAATCCCATTGGCTTTTTTTGCCGCCACATCACATTGTTGGCTCATGTTTAACTTGTTGTCCATGAGGACTCCAAGATCTTTTTCACATGTACTGCTCTCGAGCCAGGCATTGTCCCCCATTCTGTATCTTTGCATTTCGTTTTTTCTGCCAAAGTGGAGTATCTTGCATTTGTCACTGTTGAACTTCATTTTGTTAGTTTTGGCCCATCTCTCTAATCTGTCAAGATCGTTTTGAATCCTGCTCCTGTCCTCTGGAGTATTGGCTATCCCTCCCAATTTGGTGTCGTCTGCAAACTTGATGATCATGCCTACTAACCCTTCATCTAAGTCATTAATCAAGATGCTGAACAGGACCGGGCTGAGGACGGAACCCTGCGGCACTCCACTTGTCACTTGTTTCCAGGATGAAGAGGAAGCTTTACATACACTCTCTGGGTTCGTCCACTTAACCAATTACAGATCCACCTCACCGTAGTTTTGCCTAGCCCACATTGGACTAGTTTCCTTGCCAGAAGGTCATGGGGGACCTTGTCGAAGGCCTTACTGAAATCCAGGTACGATACATCCACGGCATTCCCCGCATCTACCCAGCTTGTAGCTCTATCGAAGAAACAGAAGTAGAACTAACAACAAAATGATACTAGATGCCTAATCTCCCAAAAGGAATCTTCCTGAAAAAGATTCTAGCTGGCTATTCCTGCAAAGTACGGGGTTTCATTCCTTTCTAAATGCTTCATCTAATGAGCATGCTCAGTCCTCTTAGCTGGGACTTTTAACCAACTTAGGCTTTTAAAAAAAATTATTGACTTCTGTTTTTCTCAAGTTCCTGAAGAGCATACTGACATGCTCCAAATCTCAGAAGCTTTGTTCTGCCGAAAGTGTGCTCACCAACTAGTGATACACATGCTTGAAGTATATTCCAAGAACTAAGGGGCTGCTAGGATGAACAAAATGGTGTATACAGATGAGAGCTCTTCCTAGCCAGTTTCTTCAATGGCTATGTCTTTCTGTGATATGTGATATTATTTTATGAGATGTGTTTAATTGTGTTTAATGTTTATCAGAAGAGGGTCAATTTTGATGTTTTATACTTTTTTTTTATCGATGGCATTGAATTGTTGCCAACACCGTGAACCGCCCTGAGTCCCCTTCGGGGTTGAGAAGGGCTGAATACAAATACTGCAAATAAATAAATAAATAAATAATATGTTCTAATGTTACTTTAAGAGCAAACAGATCTAAAGAGAATGCAAAAGTTTGTTCTACTCTATCAGAAGGTGAGCATTGTGAATTATATCTTACAGGAGCCCCTAGTAGAAGTGATTCACCTTTTAAATGGATGTTGACTTCTTATGATTCAATATTTGCCCCCTCCCCTTTCCTTTTTTTGACAGTCTATGCAGCCTCAAACTGAGAGCAGAAACTTGTTCCTTACTGAAATTGTTCTTCTCTGGTTTGGGGCAATGGATTTTGAGCAAACACTTTCAATCTCTTCACTGCAACCCAAAAAGATTGCCAATAGCTGCTGATGGGGAAAGGAACTTTCAGCACTGGAAGTTTTGCATGTGGCTTCCCCACCTGTGTTCTTTTTCCTGGGTTCTAATCTAAATTGTTTCAAACAATTTACTGGGGACAGGGAGGAAGGAATCAAACATTTCAAAACTACAGTATTACACACAACTTTTATTCAATCAACATCACTGATTGAATATTAAAACAAGTTTATTAATGAGGTCATGTTCTTTTGAGTTTTCAAATTCAAAAAGAAAAAGAAATGCTTTATTAGACTCCCTGAGTTAACACACTAGAAACCTTGAAGCCAAGTCTGCCACCAAGAGGTGAGAAAACACATTTTTAAAGAGTAGCAGCGTAGATCAAGAGTGAAAAATAGTGACTAAGTAAACATTAAAGAGAAAAAAACACACTATTAACTATTCCAACACTGGAATGTATCGTTTTATAGTAGTAGTCCGAAGTATATCATTAGCCTTATTCTTGATTTCTCTGCTTCATTGCCTCTTCTGCACTATAGGCAGGCTCCTCTTCCAATACCTGCCTTTGTTTCTTAGTTTACACCAATTTGACTCACTTGCCTTGTTCAACAAACCACCCTGTACCCCTTCAAATTTCTCAGAACCAATCTTTTAAATATATTTCTGCAGTCTGATCATTATTTTGCTTGTTGTACCTAAACTATGATATTCATCTCCTTCACATATGTATTTACTCTATATGGCCAAGAAATTTTCTGCATAGAATAACTGACACGTATGAGTGTATACACAGTAAAAGAGGCTTCAACAAGTATGAGAACACATTCTTCACGTAACCCATAACTGGGAGTAAATAACAGTGAAATGATAACAATAACAAAAGAAATACCAAGAAATATTTTTTTCGTAAAATGTCTAATTATTAAACTTTTATTAGTAGCTGAACAAAAAACTTGATTGGATCTTAGATTCCCTTTTGTTAGTTGGGTTGGCCCATGTTTGCTTATGGAAGATAGACTGTGTTATGGGACAAGGGGAGGCAGTTCTTGTTGTTCTTCTTTGCATCTCACTGCATTCTCACATTTATTCTACAACACTGTTTTGTAAACTGTGGGTCCTGGCCCCAAATGGCTCTGAGCTCAATGTTGGGGGACACAAAAAATTAGCAACAGTATAAAGTTTCCAAATGCCACCCATTTACACAAATATGTTAACCAACAATGTGCAGAATTGGACTTTGCAGAAATTGCTTGAGCTGCCCTTTATAAAAAGAAGAATCAGAGTGTTTGATTTTTTAAACTTATTTTATATATCTATCTGGATTTGTATAAAAATCTCTCAGGCAGAAAGGGGTTGCGAGTGGAAAAAGTTTAAGAAGCCCTGCTTTGGAGAGTGGGGGCTTTTTGGAACACTGTAAATGTGCTGCAGGGAATGGGAGAATTGTGTGCAAGAGCCTTCCCACTCCACTATCCCACCAGTTGGGTTTTCCATGTGACCCTAAGGTTTTTCATGAACAGAAGGGGCTCTACTATAAATGAAGGAGGGGGGTTCAGCTTCTAAATCGTAGAAAATATATTACTTTAATGCCATTCAGTTTTCAACAAGACCATTGTTATTTGTACCTGATCTTTACTGTTTAAGCCAATGTGCATGACAAGATAAAAGTGCACTAAGTAGTCAGGATTTGGCACAAAATCTTGGCGCCTAGTCATCATAGCACATATCAGTTTGTATGAATGGAGCTTCCCTTCTTTGTAGTCATCTGGCAAGGTTGTAGCCTGAAAGAACAACGAAGAAGTACTGAGCAAGATAGGTGGTCTGTAGGACAACAACGTCTGGTTCATTTTAAAACAATAGTTTGAAATTCTACATTAAAATATTGTTCCTACTTCAGTGTCCGTCAAGATTTCTACAGTTAATAGGCTAAATCCTATTTCTCTCAATCCACTTCGGTTACACTTGAGGGATACATCTATTTCTCTGAATTGAGGAATTCGCCTATTTTTCTCATTGAGGGATAAACCTATTTCTCTCACTGAGAGAAACAGGTGTACCCCTCAATTCAGAGAAATAGATGTATCCCTCAAGTTTAACCAAAATGAACATAAACAACTGTAAAGATTGTTAGTTCAAAATACAAAGTCACAAATAGAAAAAGGAATGGAATTCCAAAGACTTAAAGTGTTGATTATATATTAGATATGTGCAGTTAAACGAGCTACAACATTTGTGCCTGACCCACATGATTAAACATCAATGTAGAAATGCTGTAATAGAAGACTAAGCAAAAACAAAAGCAGGATAACAATGAGATTGGGTTCCTGAATTGTACATGAAGTGCTTTTGGCCAACTACTAGTATTCTGAAAAAAATTGTTGAAAAACCTACCTTGAATAACCAAGATGCAAATATTCTAAGTGGTGGAATTAAAATAGGTGGGGCAGGAGTGGACTGGTTATCTAGACTGATAGCAAGATTATCTCTGATCTAAAAGAAAGAAAAACAAAACAAGCACTTAATAAGACAAAATCTCCCAATGCTACAATAAACCATATTTTTTTCTTTGTAAGTTGTCAAATATAAGGTATAGGGTCCTAAACCCTATAGTTCCAATGTATAGTTGAAACAAGCTTGAAAATACTTTAAAACTTTCTTTACAAATATAATGCATAGTTAATATTTCTTGTTCTACTAGACCAATGATATTTCATTGAATATTCATACTATTAAAACTAGATTCAAGCTTACCTTTGCTAATTTGTACCACAGCTCATACAGATACTCAAAAACCATTGCATGTATTTTAGGAGACTTGATATTATTTACATCTCCAAGAATCCCCAGTATTCTTCGCCATAATACAGAAGCAGAGTCAGGATGCCAGCCTATGAGATTTCCACCAGCAATTATACTGCAGTCATCAGCAAGGAACTCACTGCTGTCTAGAAAGAAAATTTATTTATTATGCATTAATCAAAAAGTTCCCAAGACTGTGAAAAGATATTGTGATCTATGAAGATCAGCAGTGCAATGCATCTTAGCAACATGCTATGGGGAAATGACTTTGCTTATTCTACACAAGGCTCTGGTTTTGGGCAGGCTAGCTGGTGTCCAGAATGAAACTGCACTGCTGTTATCCCAAGAGCACATAATTTTTGTTATACCATAGGAAGTAATGGCATCACTTCATTTATGTGATAAAAAGTTAATGCAGATGCAGGTCTTAACAATATAATAATTTGTTTATTGGGAAGACATCATCGGCATGTACAATACATATAGCATGTATTAGGATTAATAATAGTAGAACTATTGCCAAAGTATGGAGACTACCTGGTGAAACTGACAACAGCAGAGAAATATAAAATAGGCTCTTCCTGCTAGGCCACACAGTTCACTTTTCAAGCATTTAGACATGACAAAAACACTTTGGTTTGGCAGCAAAATGCTACCACAGCAGTATTCTAGGTAAGGTAGGGAGAATCTTCTCTTCATGTGGCAGATTGAGAGGCAGCAGACAAAGGCTAACAATCATAGATTATTTATATGAATTTAAAGTAGACAATGAAAACATTGAGATAGTCAAAGATTTCTTATAGACTGACTCAGTCATTAATCAAAATGGGGGTGGAAGTTAAGAAATCAGAAGAATAGGATTTATCATCATCATAGGTGATTCCTCGTGGCTGAGTATGATTGTTTTCCAGAAGTAGTCTTTGAGTTGGGTCTGTAAGTGACTGTAGAAACCTATTCTGGATCTGCATATACATTTCCAGATAGTAGGTGGTCTTGACAAGGGTTTGCTTGATGCTCCTTGACACATTTCTTCCTTTCACCCTCCATTTGTGCCTCTTCAAAATCCATAGCACTGTTGGTAATGGGTTACTTCCAGTTAGAATGCTCAAATGCTAGGCTTCCCAATTCTCTGTGTTTATTCCACCTTTTAAAAGGTTTGCTTTAAGTCCATCTTTACAACTCTTTCCCTGTCCACTGACATTCTGTTTTCTATTCTTGAACTGAGAGTAAAGTAACTGCTTGGGAGACGATTATGGCTATTTGGACAATGTAACCAGTCCAGCAAAGTTGATGGCGGAGGATCATCACTTCAATGATAGTGGTCTTTGCTTCTTTCAGAATGTTGATGTTTATCCACCTGTTTTCCCAAGAGATTTACAGGATTTTTCGGAGGCAACGCTGATTGAATCTTTCCAGAAGTTGAGTGTGATATTTGTAGATGGTCCACATTTCACAGGCATATAACAGAGTTGGGAGGACAATAGCTTTATTAACAAGCATCTCTGTATCTTTATTAATGTCCCCAACCTCAAACACTCTCTGCTTCAATCAAGAAAATGCTGCACTCGCAGAGCTTAGATAGTGTTGTATTTCAGTGTCGATGCTGGCTTTTGTGGGGAGTGGCTGCCTAGGTAGCAGAAACTGTCAACATTTTCTAGATATACACCATTACGTTTTATTTTGACATTGCAGGGGGATTTCTTGATGCCTGCTGGTAGAGAACTTTGGTTTTCTCAGTGTTCAGTGAGAGGCCAAGCTTTTCATATGCTTCTGCAAAGGTATTTAAAGTGGCTTGTAGGTCTTCCTTTGAATGAGCACAGACTATGTGATCATCAGCATACTGGAGTTCTATAACAGAAGTTGTTGTGACCTTACTTTTGGCTTTCAGTCTGCTGAGGTTAAAGAACTTGCTATCTGTCCGATAGGTGACTTCCATATTGGTGGTAAGCTTCCTGTCAAATGTGTAGAATCATAGCAATGAAGATAGAAATTGGACTTCTAAAAGCAATTATGAAGGAGCTAGGCAAGATCTTGAATGAATACCAAAGTCAGGATTGTCTATGGCATTGTATTTCTATGTATGTTGAAGAAGATGAGAACAACTCATTTGAAATGGTGGAGAATTCAAAGAGGCAGGCAAACGGGTTCTAGAGCAAACAAGTCCAAATTCCCTCTAGATGACAAAGCAGAGACTGTTGTACTTTTAACTTATCATGAGAAGACATGATTAGCCAGGGGGGAAAACCGAATTATGCTTTTTAAGGTAGAAGGTGGTGGGGAAAGACCTCATTAAAGATAGATTGACTCAATCAAGCCATGGCCCTGAGACCTGGGTACAGCTGTTATAGACAGGGTGATTTGGAGGTCTCTCACTCAAAAAGTTGCCATAAGTCAAAGCTGACTTGACCACTGTTAATTGCAGCTTTCCCGCTTTTCCTCCTTTCTATGTTGCAGGAAACTAATATGGCCACTTCTTTGAAAACTACTACTATGAATTAAATCATATAACACCTTTCTCCCACAGTGAGACCCAAAGTGGCTTCCAAAAAGGATAAAAATCCACTACAGACAATTTATCAAACAACTTCTGAAAAATAAAGATCTTTAAAAAAGAAAAAAAGTCTTAAAGGTGCAACTGCATTCTTTGTTTCACTTCCCTCTCCCTTCCTCCTTTGTACGCTGCAGGAGACTAATGTGGCTATTCCTTTGAAAAGGCATATCCAGTTAAACATGGCGTGTTCACTTAAAAGACCACCAATAAGTACAAAACTATCAAATGTCAAAGCATACACATTTCTAAAGCAATCACTTTATATTCCAACACCATTATTTACACTCAGGAAGTTTTGTACACCCTTATTGAATGTGATCTCAGAACGAACTGCTTTAAGAATCAGAAAAGATAATTAAATAGATTTTATTGCTGTTGCAAGTAAGATATTTGTGGAAACAAAGTAAAAGCTGACAAATGTCTTGTCTTTCTATGGGCAAATGTGTGTTTTTTCTTCATTTACCCTAGAATTTCTCTGATGGCGGCTCGTTGGAGGGTATTGAGCACCCTCTAGTGCTACAGAAGCAACATATCCCAAAGAGGTATGGTACCCACACTGCATTTCAGATAGAAAGGGTAAAGAGCTGCTGTAATCTTTATAGAATACAAAACATATTGGAATTTCAGCTCCTCTATTAGGAAGAATATGAAAAATGTCTAAAACACCTGCTTTGGACAAAAATGAATATACATTAATGGGAAATTATATTATTCTCAAACAACAGGCACCACATAGGCAGATAAAATAGTGGAAATCCCCTCCATCAATTCAAATAACACATAAAGGACTGGCAGGGCTGCCTGTGCTAACACCACAATACCACAGACACCTGATGAATGCACTCCATCATCCACACGTTCTCCACATATACGTAGGATAATAATGGGAATACTAACTCTTTAAGCAGGATTCTGGGCCAATGGTATGCACATAAATCCGTTTTCGTGTATGTGATTTACATCAATGTAGACATAGTGGATGGCAATGGCAGTGTTCATGTAGCCCATGAACTCCTCACACAGTCAAATAACATGTGGGACTGAGGCCATGAATTTCCCAATAGAGTGATAAACTATCAAGCCAGAAAACTATTTAAAAAGAAAGGAGGACATATTTAGCAGCCAAACTTTGGAAACTATTTCACGCCACTACTAGGGAAGAAATGAACCTTTTTAAATGTCCCATAAGAGAACACAGCCTGCCAAGCAGTGACCCTGTACACTGTCACATAACCTTTTATTAAACTTGTTCCAAAGGAAATATGGTTTTGAAAAAACATGATCTGAAAGAAACACAAATACTGTAAAATAAGAATTTCTCCCCCTCACATCCCTAGAGATTCCCCTAATAATGATTTTCCCAGAAAAGGTATGAAATTTCCTGTTGGGTTTCCAGGACACTGACATACAATGAACTGATGAAGCAATAGCTCTTTAGTTACAGAAAATTCTTAAATCAAGATGGCATCAAATATGAACTTCCTGATATTGAATTTGAAGCCAAGATAGATGCATTTAATCATTTTTATTATAATGCATATAAATATCTTTCTGCAGTGTTGTTTTTGCTTGAATTAAAAAGATACAGAAATTATCAGATGTCTCTCAGATATCTTGATTGCTAGAATTTCAGAATAAAGGGAATAATTGATGAGTTGCTACTAAGCAGGGTTTACTTATTAAGTGCCTTAGGTGCAGACCACATTCCAATTTAAACAAGTTTTAGTTTAAAATAAATAGAATAAATGGAATTCAATTTCTTCTTTTTGCTTGAAATTTTTTGACTTTACTGATTTTAAGTTAGTTCCTATGACTGATCTACTTTTTAAAGAGCGAGGACATGATATCTCGAACATAGAGGAGGCTTGGAAGATACAAAGATGTTTTCCACTAATCTATAAGCATATTGTGCAGAAAGCATTAAAATTCTTGATGTTTTCTAGAGCCGAAAAATGCCATTAAACTTAGAGAAAACCATGCCATTTTTGTTAATATTTATAGCTTGCTCTTAAGCTGGGCTCAGGAACATAATAAAAGCTTAGCTACTAAGGATTTGGTTTCCTAAGACTCTATATTTTATGAAACAGAAGACATTGGCGATCATATGTTTTTAATGGTTTTTATATGGGTTTTATATGGATTTTTATGATGTCATGTTAAATGTTTTTAATGGTATTTATGATTGTTGTGGCATCAAATTGCTGCCAATCTGTAAGCCACCTTGAGTCGCCTTTGGGCTGAGAAAGGCGGGATAGAAATACTGCAAATAAATAAACAAATAACAAAGTATGTTTACATATACACAAGCACACACAGCACACTACCTTGGATAATATGTACCTGTTAAATTGGTGGCATCTGAAGGATTCAAGTGCAACCAGTGGCATGCATCTGGGTCAACCGAAATCTCAGATGGCATGTTGACATCATGGTTTTCTTCACACGATTGCCAGGGAGCCATAGTAATGTCTACTTCATTACTGTATCCTAGGGATGTATCACTACTGACACTTTCACCTACAGGATGGATAAAATTTCCAGTGAAATAGGATTTTCTCAAAACTAGAGGAACAATAAAAGAAGTTCGTAACCACCAATGCAATTTGTGATCTCACTTTGTGCTAACATAAATGCTACATGCAAAGTAACAAACATCTGTGATACTCACTTTTCTCTCTTTCTCTCTGACTTCCAGGTGATTGCTGCATGTCTACTCTCAGATATGATTCAGCTGGAATGTTGTTTGTCTACATGAAAATTTTGAAGAAATAGTATTACAATATTGACCAGTTTTAAAAAATAGTGTAGGTACACATTTTTAAATTTGTCTTCAATGTTTTAGCTGTCTGTTCTGAATGTGTCAGAGAAGCGGGTCTACAATACTTAGCTCTTCTTGAAACCTAGGTATCCGTTTTATGAAGGCAGTTGGAGATTGTCACTAAGAAATCTATAGACAGAGCTCAATACTTTGTTGTTTCTCCATTTATAATCTTAGGACTCTGAAAAATGGGGAGACAACGAACTGTACACTTTGCTTAATGTTTCCTCTTCTACAAAAACCAAAGGTTTGGAGGCAGGCAGGCAAACATGCCAGCAAGCAAAATAACTGGTTTCTTAGGTTTCCCTCTCAACTATCTGGGAAAGCAGGAAATATGGTTTCTCTGGAGATGATCACATTCTAACAAATTTGTACAAAAGTATAGATCTATAGCACTCCAAACTATATACATAATAAGAAGTAGAATAATTGCAAACATTATTAAGTACAAAAATTAGGAAGTACTTCTTAACAGTAAAACGTATTCGGCAATGGAATATGCTGCTGCCTTGGAGTGTTGGTGGATTCTCATTTTCAGGAGGTTTTTAAACAGAGACTTAATTGCCATCTGTCAGGAGTGCTTTGATTGTGTATTTCTATATTTATTTATTTACTACATTTATATGCTGCCCTTCTCACCCCAAAGGGGACTCAGAGCAGCTTACAAGATATAATTGTTTCAGATTTGTGCGCTATTTTCTTTGGATTTCTGGCCTTGATGTAATATAATTAATATATGACAGAGGGCTGGACTGATGGCCCACGTGGTCTCTTCCAACTGTATGATTTTAGGTTTCTATGAATATCCCTTGTTTTTCTATCATCAGAAGTGTTTGGTTTACTTGCACAATGAACATCTCCTATGTTGGCAAATTAGAGTACAGGGAAAATGTCAATAAATAAGAAAAGGTTTTTAGGGCAAACAAAACATTTCAAAAAGCAATGTGTGTGCGCGTCTATCATGTCTTTCTATAAATTATGTACCGATTTTATAATCTGCTTAATTAACATCCTATTTCTTCACCTCCAAGATTGATACAGGGAAGTTTCTGTGTGAAAAAACACAATCCTAAAAGTATAATTGCTAAATCTTTGCATGTTTCCCTACAAAAATCAATTTGTTCAATTCTTTATTAGTTAATATACATTTACCATTTCAGTTCTCCTTTTAAAGGATTTCCTAACTTAAAATAATGGACTCATTGTAAGTCCTCTTTATCAAATTTACCTCTTCCTCTGTATTTTCTTTGTTCACAACTCCCTTAGTTTCTTCAGTAGATTTGGAATCTGAATTTAAGTTCTGTGAGCTTTCCGTTTTTCTAACTGTGAAGTGAAAAGTTATATATTTTTTTAAAAAATGCGTATAACAAATTTATATACTATCAATTAAACACTGATATTATCAATGAGGATTAAATTAATGCTATCTTTTGTTTTTATCATGTATATATAACAAGGATACAATTTTTTAAATTATGCAGCATTAGTATAATTTATTCTGATAATATATTGGTTAAAAACAAGGTGAACATATTAAAGGGAATAAACTAAATTTGAAATACTACCTGCCACTGGCACCAAAAAACAAAACAAAAAACAAAACAGCAAACAAGGTTAAATTACTGCACACATACAAACATACAAGATTCAGTGTGTGATGTGCTTTAATTAGGTTGTGCCTTAAATATTGTTGCATAAAACAATTGCACAATTTCATCCAAAACCAAGAAGTGCGTAAGTAGTATAATGAGGAAGTCAATTCATATTACTTCTGAATTACCATGAAAAACAGAATTGCATTGGTCTCTAATATCAGAGGTGCTGCTACTTCGCGTTAATTGTTCCTGGTCTGAAAACAGACTGTTACTTTCTGTTCTTGATACAGTTCCAGCTTGGCTGTATTCTGTTCCTGTTCCGTTTTCTGACTGCTGATATTCTTCAGCTTCTGCGAGGATTGATACAGAAATGTTTCAGGCATATAAAAATTAGAACATTAAAATTACTAATGTTAATAAAAGCATGTAAAGTAAAAATGGCAAAACCGAGCAAAACAATACATTTACAAGATGTTAGCTATTGTAAAAATAGCTCAGGCTCCCTAAAACAGACCAGAACACAGCTAGATCTTTCATTCTTATATTACGCCATCACAGTGAGTATGGTTAAGGAGAGGTGAGTCAGGAAACATCAGGAAATAACTTCAGGTTTAGCCTCAAATGGATTAGGGAATTTCAAAGCTTGCTTTATAGACAGATCTTTTCTTCTTCAGGAGAACATGCATATCATATCATTACTTTTCTTATTCAAAATACAGTATCATAAAAATACAGGGTGCGACAGCATAACTTCCTTTTTAAAAATGTGCGCCATTCAGTCGGTTGAAGACGTAGTGGAGCGCTAGTGGTCTCGTTCGAGAGGCGGGAGTATAAAGTTTCGTCCTGACACAGTTCAGTCGCCATCATCCGTTGGAACAGTGAGGAGCGTGCTTTTGCTGTTGAGGCCTACTTTTCGAGCAGATGTTCTGTGATCGCAACCCAGCGCACCTTTCGAAATCATTTTAATTTAGCCTCATTGGCCCCTGTCCCGGATCGGAAATCAATTGTGACGTGGGTCACTACATTCAGACAAACTGCAATTGCAGCAAGACGAAGAACTGGAGTCCCTTGGCCCACTAGATCACCTAGGAACATTGAGGCAGTGAGAGCTTCAATGTTGCGATCACCACGGCGTTCTGCACGCAAACATGCGTCTGCCCTTGGATTTTTCCGATCGTTCTGTGAGGAGAATTCTTCATGATGATCTTCATTTCCATCCTTCCAAGATGGTGATTGTGCAGGAACTTTCTGAACGTGACTTCAATTCTCAGAGGAACGCGTGTGAGGTTCTTCTCGAAGTCGATCCTGAGGACGCTATTGTTTTTTTAAGTGATGAAGCCCATTTTCATTTGTGTGGATCCATCAACAAACAAAACATGTGCTCCTGGGCTGACAACAATCCTCGAGAATTGCATAAAAGGCCTTTGCATTCACCTAAAATCACAGTGTGGTGTGCAATTTACTCAGCTGTAATTATTGGTCCCTGGTTCTTTGAGGAAAATGAAGTCGGTATGTAAACATGTTACAGGATTTTTTCCCCCACTGCTAGATAGGTTGGACTTAGGGAACATTTGGTTCCAACAAGACGGTGCAACTGCACACACTTCAAGAGCATTGATGGCTGTTTTGAGGGAACACTTCCCAGAGCGCCTCATCTCAATTAGGGGGGATTTGGAGTGGCCAGCCCACTCTCCAGATTTGGCCCCTTGTGATTTTTTTCTATGGGGTTTTTGAATTCCCGGGTTTATGTGAACCGTCCAAGGACCCTACAAGATTTGAAGACCAACATCCAGGAAGAAATTGCCAACATAACGCCTGCTATGCTGGCAAGATTCATGACAAACGCCAGAAATCGGTTTACTCAGTGTATGGAGAATGGGGGACATCACCTACCTAATTTGATCTTCAAAACTACGTAAAACAAAACTTTAGGTATGTCCCTACATTATAAAAGTATTTCTGATTCATACAATGGGTTTTATTAAGTTTTGAAAAAAGGAAGTCATGCTGCTGCACCCTGTATTAATTTTCAGAATGTTGTGCACGAAACACTTGGTAAAACAAAGACAGAATATTCAGAAGCCAAATAGTTTGGGTATCATACCTGAAAGCGTGTGAGAGTAAGAAGTGTAAGAGATACCAGGTAAGATAGAGCTCACAGTGTGAAGGAGAAGAGGTACACTTTTAGTGGCTGGCAAAGCCTCACAGAGATGAGCACAGTTGCTGATAGATTGGCTTCGCTTAGCTTCCAGGGAAAAATAAATTAACAGAAGTCAAAACAGTAATGAAATATCTTCTTCAATAGGATATTGCATGAAAGAGAAAAAGAGGAAAGCAACTGGAAAGTTTCTTAAACATGAAATCACACATGCATCCATTTTCCTGTTGAAATAAACAGTTCAGAATAGTGTAATCTAAGAACATTATTCATTGTAGATGCTAATTTGGAGAAAATCAATTTAATAGATTTCTCACTAGAGTTGTTTGAGCTTGGAAATTTCTTTTAGAACTTCTACAGTTTGAATTAGTCACAAAGAATGAATTATTTGCAAGAATTATTCATTAACTTTGTATTTGTATTTTGTATTTTGCTTCTTTTACAATCATATCCTCTAGTTCCATGGTGGATAATTCTGGACCAAACTTGCTTTCATTGAGGAATGTTTGGATGTCTGTAGTGGGCCAACACTACCAAGAGAAGAGGAACAAATTAACACTCTCTTCTAAAGGGAAAAGACTGTAGTTTATCAGAGAGATACTAGAAAACCACGAGTACCTCCAATAATCTTGTACCATAGGAACATATACTAAGTCTTAATACATATGTTGTTCCAACATATTTATCAAGTCAAATTACCTAATTGTATTTACTTCTCAAGCTGTGGGGGTCAGAAGGATCCTATCCTAGATAGACTGTTGAGAGACAGTAATACTTTTATCTTGCAGTTCCTAGTCATTCAAAAATACTAATAAATGAAGCATTCCTCTAATTTACGACTTTGAGAAATATTGTTATAGTCACTACTACCATTGGAACCAGGCTAGTTATCTGATCATACCTCCTTTGTGGGAAAGACTGAGTGATCTGACATCCCTAAAATAATCTTACTTGTGCTGGTTGAGAAACCACCGATTCTTGCCTTATTCAAGAGGAAATGAGAAAGGATGAAGTGTTAGAAAATAAAAAGAGAAGGAAAAAGTAGTGGTGGTAGGAACAAGTCTACATTAGAAAAATGGAGGTATTTGGGAAGAAAGATAAACTCTTACAATGCAATTTCTGTTCCAGAAGTTCCAAAAAACATAAATGCATCCCAACTGCCATAAATATAAAGCACTTCATATTAAATTTATATTTCTGATTAACAATTAAGACATTAAATGGCCTGTGCCTAACCTGTTGCTCTCTGACGCACTATATTCCTTGCTTTCTCAACTCCTGGTACTCCCGAAGTAGTAGCACTCCTAAACCTCATTGGTTCCACAACTTCAGGATGATTTCTCCAGCTTAAAGAAAACGATCTTCCAACTGAAGTTCCCTTCTGAGGTTCCAAAATGCCACCTTTCAGATAGTGGAATATAGAAGAGTTGTAATTCCAAAGCATTGAACATGGAAACAAATAAACATGAGAAGTTTTAAGTTTACATAAATCCATTAAATTAGTGCAGTTCCTAATTAGTCTCAGTTTATGATTACAAATGGTCATTGTAATCATTTCAATGAAAGTTACCTTTAATTTAAGTAGACAATTTAAGTGACAATACTGTGTTTTGATCTAGGAGAAGTATTCCAACACAGTGATTCAAATATGAGCAGAAATACTAAGGAAGTCCCTTTAAACTACCTCATGCTTATTCTGAGAGACTGCCGACCTCATCCAGATAAAACTGATGAGATAAAATTTTACTGCAAGTTCATTTCTACTACAGTATTTACATATAACTAAACCCACAACACAGTCCTTCTAGTAGATTATCAGTTGAACAATTCTTGCATATTTCATTCTTCTATCATTTCTAGTTTCTACTCTGTATATAAAATATTCTGGGAGGATGCTTCTCATAAAACAACTGATGCTCAGTTTAAGGATATCTTTGTCCAAGAATTAACATATGGGTGGGAATTTTTTTGATGTTAGAAACTCATCTATCTGGCAAGAGAGATTCCAGTGGCCAGACATTCTTTCTGAAAACTAAACAAATACCAATTCACCTACCCAAAATAGGAAAAAATAAATGTTTTATGATAAAAAGTAAGCAAGATATATTTGTACTTCTTATGTAACCAAATATGAGGCTTGGGGGGGGGGGGGGCGTTATTACATTATCTTATAATACAAGTAAAATTGTTTTAGGGTAGTAAAATATCCCTAAAGTGAATATTGCTCAAAATGCTGGTCTGTGAAGTGGTGTTGGCCTGTGAGGCAGTGACTGCAAGTGTGTAGCAAATTTCTAGGAAATAAGTGGTTGGATTTAATAGGCTTAGTGGCAAATTACCCCTAATCGTCCTACACATTACATAGATTAAGTCACCCTACCCCCAAACCATTCATGTCTATGCCTTTGGTTTCGTTCTATGAAGATAACAAATACCCAAAATACAAATCACGATACCCAACGTTACCCAAAAGCAATACTTCAGCAAACTTTGAATTTGTTAATTGTCCTAATTTTTTAAAATCAGAAATAAAGAAGTATGTTGGAGGAAAAAGTGCATATCCCTTGCTGCACAAGTCATAAGCAAAACATGCCTCTTCAGTTTTTCTCCAGACACTTACTTTATATATTAATGTTCCGTTATAGCCAGTCACAATTTTTATAGCAAATAATGATGCAAGAAAACATTGTATTAGGAAATCCATGGAAGTATACTGAATGATCATGTCTTCTACTGCCCTCTTGTGAAATCCTAGCAATGGAAAACTATGCTAATGAAGTTCCGTATTTACAGCTACAGATGCAGTAGCACTTGTACCTCTGATTCCTTATTATACCACCACTATTAGTTGTACACCATATGAATGTGGTTGTACCACACATTGCACAATTAGGAGTTCTGTAATTGAACATGCAACTGGTTTTCCAACTAGATATACAACTGTAACTATTGGAAATCCTTCTGCACACATAGTCTGGAATCATATCTGCACTGCTGGAATAACACTACAGGCAATTCCCATGTTACAAAGATTTGACTTACAAACTACTCATAGTTAAGAGAGGGATGGGACAACAGGAAGTGAGAGAAATCTAACCCTAGGAAGGGAAATTCACTCCCGAAAGAGTTATCATGAGGGGACGGTATTTCAACTGAAACTTTATGTTGTGGTTCAGCCTGAGATTGCTTCATTGCTTGACAGTTCTGTAGACTCACGGGAGTCTGGTTTTGTACCTGATGCTGCACCTGATGGGGCTGGGGATTCACTGGAGTTTGATGCTCTACCTGATGGGGATTCTGGGAATGTTAGGCCAGCAGTGGATTTCCAGCTGGAGGCAGACACAGAACCTGACAGGTCTGAGCCAGCTTTCTCAAGGGAACCAAGGTGAGATTGTACTGTAGTAATTGCAGATGAGGAGTTAGAGTTAGATAGAAGGAGAGAATGTTGTCAACAGAGACGAGCCGCTGAAGGGAGGCACCACTCACATTGCCTCTCCCTGAGAAGAGGGCCTCCTGAAAGTTCGCAATAGAAGAGACATAGTTTTTTAGGTATAAAGATTTGATATGCTTTTTTCCCCAGAGGAATCAACGTCTGACTAAAGTGAACATCCTCTCTCTTGTTCTGGGATTCCTGGAATCAAGCCTTGAGTTTTCTATTTACTCCTGTTCTAAGTATCAAGTGTTTTTCCTGGTTTCCTGTATTACTTCAAGAATCAAGTGGTTTCAATGAATCATGTACTTGTGGATCTTTGTTATAGCTGCCATGTACTTCTGATCCTCTGGATTGCTGTGTTCTGTCAAGGTTTGAGTTTAAAGATCTTGATTGCATTTTGGTCTCATGGATTAATGTTTTCAAGTCTTTCCAAGTGCCTTGCTTTACATGGATTATATTTTGTATTGACTTTTTATTCTTTTACCATTTTTGCTGAAGGTATATTTATACCTTAATAAACTGCTTTGCTTATAACTGAACTCTAGGGTGTGAGATTGATTTAAAGGTGCCTTTCCAACCCTGGTGTGCGACACTTTATCACCAATCCTTGTTTCCACAACAAGCTCAGTTTTTCAAAATCCAATTATCACAGGGACAGAAAGTGAGGTGAAATCTTCTGAACAGGTGCACAGATAGCACCACAAGAGTGATAACCTTCTCTAGGCTATCTAAAGCTTATATTTGTTTGTAAGTCAGAACAGGTATTTTTAAGTGCAACACTGGATACATACACACACACACCGGGGGGGGGGGGGAGGTGTGACTGGAGTTACACTTAAAAATGTACCTGACTTACATACAAATTCAACTTAAGAACACAGCTACACAACCTATCAATACAGTATTGCCTGTATTGAATACCAATGGGTATTTACAGGGGGAAAACAATGCTCAATTAAGTAAACTCACTTGCAGAATCAAGCACTGAGTAGAATGAAGATTAGGAGATCCATTATCAGAGTTTGGCGACAATCTAAAGACGACTTCCATACTCTAACAGTGGCAACTACATAATTCCTGACACTTTGGGCTGTTATTCTTGACTGTTTCTTCTTGAAGGAAGCAGCATGTAATTTTAGTTATTTTCTTTTTGCTGTGAGATAGTATTTGAAAAACTATTAAGTTTTTGAAGACTATTCTCAATTTGGGATTAATGTTGCTCCATTATATTTTTGTATGCTAAAAGATTTCCACCTATCATTGTCAGAGCTCTAAGACTTAAAAACAATTAAATATATAAAAACTATGTAGACGGGTTAGGGACACTGAAAGGCATTTGAGTTTAAATAAGGGCAGACAATGTGATCTGGTCACTGTTCTTTTATTGTCACATAAAAATAAACTTCTCATATATGTTGGGAAATCTTCACTCAAATCCTATTAGCTTTTGTGCAAATAAGAAAAGATGAAAAGGAACTTTACCTTCAGCAATTTAAAGAGAACACATTTTAACCTCTAATAACCCACATAATATCACAAGCATTGAGACAAAAGGTGTTTCACAGCAAGGGACTAATTATATCTAGCACTTAAAATTATCAGGCTTCGGTTTCTAATACATTGCCTGTATCTATGACTTAAGTCTCTTAAGCTACCAGAAGGATGTTCTTTGATAGAAGTCTTCCCATGCTTTGAGACTTTTATTTAGTCCTGACATGCTCAGAGGCTATTTGTGCAAATGCAACAAAATGGCCAGGCACAAATTGTGGACCTCTCAGTCAAAAGATATTAAGCTGACCTCTGCCCTAATTCAGGCAAATTAATAATAATAATATTTACTTATTTATATCCTGCCCCCTCTGCCCAAGGGGACACGGGGCAGCTTACAACAAGGAGAAACAGTAAAAATAATAATAATCACATTTACGGTCCAGAGAAAGTTTAAAGTTAAGCAGCAAATCAGAAGAAAAATAAATCATGATAAATAAGACAAAATAAAGCACAAAACCATGTTAATAATAACTCTAAACATCAATCATAAATATAAACTAGGTGATAATTAAGAATTAATACTGATAACTGCAGTAAAAGTTGTTTTTCATCTGGGTAACTGCTGCCTTTTGAAAAGCTGACTTGTTTTTAATGTGAATTGTAATGAGAATGGAGATTTACCTTTCCCTCTTTGTATTTTCTCCTTTTGTTCACTTAGCTTATCCAAGGGCAAATTGGTCATTTCAACACCATACACAGTTCTGGCCAAGACAGATGTCAGAGAGTCCATGATGTTAGCCCACTCTGCGATTAGTTCTCTCCAGTCCGTAAGAGAGGACAGAACCCGCAGGAGTTCATCCCAGAGTTCTCGAGAAATATAGACACTTAGATTAGCTCGGATCCAGGCCACAATGAGAGTCTGTGGTGGAGAGACAAAGCGAATGGGGCAAACAGAATGACTTTTCACTTAAAATGTTACAATCTTTGATTTCTAGAGACAATAATAAAAGAACATCCATACACAGATTAGTCATTGCAGTCAGTGCTAGATTGTACTAAGTAAACACAAGAGCCGATCAATGCAAAAGAAGTACCCCATATATTCATGTACATGTCAAGAAACTTGTTAAAAATCAACCCCCCAAAAATGGGATGCACTTATCTACAGGTCAGTGTAAATACTGTGCCTTGTCTTATTTCAAAAGTAACCAGCCAGACCTTATCTAAGAAGAATTGAGAAATGCAAGAGCTTAGTCCACCTAAGGTGAACCTAAAAGAAGCACCGTCCCCTCTACTCTGTCCGACATGGCTCTGCTTCTGGCCTTTTTGAATGCCTGCCAATTCCCTGACAATGGCCAGGGACATCTTGCCCCTGAAGTAGCACTGTCCTTTCCCTACCCCATGGAACAATCCTTGACCCAGTCAAGGGTCATATCACACCTGCCCCTGACTTATACAGGTTGTCTTATACTTGAGTATATATAGTTAGTCTAATATGGCCTCACCCCCAATGAGGGAAAAGCATAGTGAAGGTTAAGCTAGTAGGACCTGGTAGCAAGGGGAATGTTTCTGCATATTTTCCTTGGGTTGCAGTAATTTTGCCACTCCATGTGTCCTCACCCACACATGGGAAAGAAAAGGAAGGGGCAAAGCTACATGCTCCAATTACACTGCCAGTTGGAAGCTCTATCGAGGGATTTTGTGAAGTCAAGGGGCATGATCACATTTGGTCTGTGTAAGGCCAGAAGTGGGAATATGACCTAGTACTCAAAATTGGGGCTTTCCTACCCATAGTCTAGATAAGTGCTATCATTTTTTAAAAAAAAATACAGCAATGTGCTTTTCATTCATAGCCCAGAGTATTTCATCCGTGTAAATAATATAGCATTTTGCATGATGATTCAATTCTGGAGCTAATTAATTTGTACTGTGTGAAAGTGCAGTGACAATTCAGATTCAGACAAGAGCACGAAGAAAATTCCTTATGAAAGAGTAACCATGAATAAAAAATCAATAAAAGTAGAAACCTCTACATTTCACAATAGCTGAGAAAAATTCAGGTAAGATTCTTACATCTCTCTTTTATTAATCTCCCCATCTCACTCCTCCCTTAAGATGCTTATCTTTCCTCACAAATTAAAACATATACAATTTGATCATACTGCAATTATTTTCATCTGCACAGACTGACGAACCTAGGTAAATTCAGAAATCCACATTCTAGTCATAAGGAAACAGCAAAAATAAGCAGCAGCATATGTTGTTTACAAACACGAGAACTTTTACAGAAGGAAAGCACTCTCATACTGCCAAAGGCACCAAGGAATACATATTTTAGTATTCTATCAACTCCTGTTTTATGTTCTCTACAAAGAATGAGACATACCCGGAATAGTACACCTGCTAAACTTTGAGCGAATGTGTCTTGCATTTGGTTATCTTTTGATTTGCTCATAACAGCTTCTGTTATCCTGAGAAGAATTTGAAGCATTTGTTCCCTAGGACAAAGTTGGACAAAGACATCTTTAGAAATAAATCAGATATTAAGTTAAAATGTAGTATTTTTTATATTTCATATAAAAATATAAAATGTCTAAAAGCATACATATTATATATAAAACAGAACTGAAAAAACTGGAAATGGAATTAAGGAAAATGCAAAATATTTAGGTATCACACTGACAAATATGAATTGTTTTTATGTCAAATTAATTCTGTGAAGACATAAGAAAAAATTAAGAGGGTTATGCAAAAATGTTAAAATCTAATCTTGTCCTTATTAGGAAGAATATTCAGCGATAAAAACGATTGTGTTACCTAGAATGTTGTTTTTATTCCAGTTAATACCGGTTTTGGCAAAGAATTTGCCATTTAAACAATGGCAGAAAAGATATATCTAAATTTATTTAGCAAGAAAAAAGCCTAGAATGAAATTCAAAATATTACAAGATGTAAAGTGATGAGAAGATTTGGCCTTACTGATTTTGCCAACTGTTGTTTCGTGGTTAAAAGAATGGATGATGCTAAGAAATAAAAAGATTACTGAAACTGGAAAGAATGATCGGAAGTTCAGATGCCACAGATTTGACAAATCTAATTGAATGTAGATTTTAATAATCACTACATAAGATATGCCTTATTTTAGTAGCTTATTTACATTTAGACCATAAGCCATTCGCATAAATAAATGCAATATAAACATTTTCATAAAGTAAATGGCATACAGATACAAAAAATACAATTAAAACCTATTAAATATAAACAACAATTAGATTACAAAAGATGAGATAAGAGCATCCCAGAACAATCAAATACAATATCAGCAATAAATCTTGTCTGAATGTTCATTGCTGCCAGGGTGAAAAGAGAAACCCATCAGTTACCATATCAGACAATATGAGATAGGAGATAGAAAATGTTTTCTGAAACATGTCCAGAATTTAGTTCTTGGGTCAGTGGAACAAATAATGCGGCAAATCCTCAATTTCTAGAAAAAAGGGCCAAAAGAATATGAGAATATATGCCACTGATTGTAATGGTTTGAAGGCAAAGTCAAGCTGTATAGGTTTGCCAAGGTTTTGGGAATGTGAGCCCTGTGATGATCAAATTTAGAAACTCCATACCACAGGGGTCCTCAAACTAAGGCCCAGGGGCCAGATACGGCCCTCCAAGGTAATTTACCTGGTCCTTGCTCAGGGTCACCCTAAGTCTGAAACGACTTGAAAGTACACAACAACAAGAATAACAACAACCCTATCTCATCAGCCAAAAGCAGGCTGACATTTCCTATTGAAATACTAATGAGTTTATATTTGTTAAAATTGTTCTTCATTTTAATTATTGTATTGTTTTTAAGTGTTTTTTGCACTACAAATAAGATATGTACAGTGTGCATTAGCATTGGACTGTATTTTAATCATGTTTACTATGTATTAATTTAATTCAATTATTTTAAGTTAACATTGTATGTTTTTAAGGCATTGCGGAGGATCCAAATATAAGCCGCCTTGAGTTCCCCTTGGGGTAGAGAAAGGTGGGATATAAATAAGGTAAACAAACAAATAAGTATTGTAAAGTAGAGATGCATGTTCTGGTAGTTATACATACCACTGGTGTGTTCTATTTCATCTTTTTTCTTGAAGTGTGTGTGTGTTTGTGTGTGTCTGTATTCACAAAGCCTCTCTTGTGAACTCAAGATAGATTTTCTTTTAAAAAAATAGAGTAGGACATGATTGAAGCAATTTTTGATATCTTGCATTCCAAACCATAACAAAGGAACCTTTTAAAATTCTTCAGTTTTTAAATAAAGTTAAATAAAATAGATGCGAGATTTAATAGAAGAACTGACCTCTGCCCTGAATTAAGAGCTAAAGGGGTACCAGGTGGAAGTATTTTCTTGAGAAATGTATTCTGAAGAGCCTTCCATTTGGCTATCTAAGGGACATCCCATTCCTTGACAGTAGGAATCATACAGAATCTAGATAATGATTTTGCCCTGGAGTATTTTCAGGGCTGGAAAACCAGGTGGCTCCCTACAATATTGGAAAATCGAACAGATCTCAAAGCTACTGTTCTAGTAGCTTCGACATGGGGCTTCCAGGAGGTTTCTGTAAAATCAATACTTGGGGACTTAAATTTCTAGCATTATTCAATTTGATAATCATCTGTAGGCCACTGAAAATGAGAATGTCTTTTTCTATACACCATTACTTTTGTTTTAGTATATCCTATTTACTTGAATCTAATGCTCACCTCTTTTGGCTAAATTACCTTGTCAAATTAGTGTGTATTAGATTCACATCATATGGTAATCTTAGTGCTGAGAAAAAGCTAAAGGAGAAGCACCTGGAGCTCCTATTTGAGGGACATCCTGGGATTTGTAGTTTGGTGAGGCATCAGCATTGTTTGGAAGAGAAGACTCAAGACCTTGTAAAACAACAGCTCTCATGACTCCATACAATGGAGACAGGCTACCTAAAGTAGATTCATTCTACATCATAAATGCACCCCAAGGTTTTTTTCCCCCCATTGCCAGAAGCTTTGGTGCTCTTACATTTTTGTTTTTAAAGAAGGGATTCTAAGCAGATGACAACTGTAAGGGCCAAATGACAAAGAGGACACTTTTTGCTGCTGCACATGACATTTAGCAGCAAATACTTTATTTGGTTTCATGGTTTTGAAAATTGAGGTGTGCATTAGATTCAATGGCGCATTTAACTTTGGCCCATTAATTGCTTCTCTGTTGCAATGCTTAAAGGGTTGGGGTTTTTTTTGGCAGCACTAGATGGCAGTATGGCCTTGGAATAAAGCATTTATTTCCTCTGTAGGCACCCCACTATTATACTTGTGAATAATTCATGAGGGGAGAGCTAAACTTGAAAAACCCACATTGGTATTATATGAACCTTGGATTTTGAAAAACCCCACTTCATTAATATAATAGGGACTGCAAACTGTTCAAATATTACCACAATTCTCTTACATGCATATACACTGGGAAGCTTCTCTACAGCAAGCATATGAATACTGTGAGGGAATATATACAGAAGTTGGCTAAGAGAACATCTGATGACTCTATATGACCTTCATTTATCATTGTTTATTCTGTTATAGGCAATATGCTACTTTGCTTGTAAGATCCTGTTGCACTATTCTTTTGCCAGCTAGAATTATTTCTGGTGTTTTTGCTCACCTATTTTCCTCTTTTTTGGATAATGTGTTATTAGACTGAACTGAGCTCTCTTTCAAAGCCACATGTTTCTGTAGAAAAGCATTGAAGTAGTGTTAAGAAGCTCAAGTTGTTTACCATTTTTTTCACAGACTGAAGGAACAGTCTGAGTAGTTAAAAGCAGAGTAACAGAGTCTACGGGATATGGTTGTTGTTCAATGTGTTCTTTTGTTCTCAATAATAAGCAATTTCTCAAGCATAGCCATATCTGCCTCATTTTACTCCAATGATATTCTTTCCTGATAGGCAACTATATCATTGCCAGAGATTTCCAATAGCTCAGACAGAGACTAATCTTCTACAGCCAAACCCAAGTAACTGTTAGCAGTAGAAATTGCAAGCAATGAGTTTTTGGCTTTGGCTGTAGAAGATTAGTCTCTGTCTGAGCTATTGGAAATCTCTGGCAATGATATGAAACCATCCTCAGTTTACTGGAACTGACTCGGGCAGTGGGCTCCTCCATAATTCACTTATGACACCACAACTGATAAAACCTATCTTTCTCTGGACTTTTACCAAACTGATCAGTAACCTACTGCCATCATTAGATAAAACTCTCTTCCCCCCACCTCACCTCACCTTCCCCAAGGACCTCATATCACATTTACCACCCATCAAGAAGGCCTAGGACGTTTTTTACCCTCCCCATTATGTACTCAATCTGTACCTAAATACTGTATGTTATTGATTTAGATGTGTGATATATTTTTATACATATGTGAGGCATTGAATTTTGCCATTTATTATGTTGTAAAGCACTTTGAGTCCCCCCAGAGGTGAGAAAAGCAGTATAGAAATGCAGATGATAATAATAATAATAATAATAATAATAATAATAATAATAATAATAATTTTAAGGGTGCATCTACGCTGTAGAATTAATGTAGTTCGACACACTTTAACTGCCATGGTTCAATGCAGGATTTGTAGTTGTAAAACTACAACTTCCATGATTCTATAGCATTATGCCATGGCAGCTAAAGTATCTAGCTGTTCCTGGGCTTGTTTCAGAGTGTTTTTATTACCACTGAATTATCACCAATTGTCACAGAAAAGAAACCAAGCAAATTTAAACAGCAAGGTTTTGCATTACTGAAATTTTATGGTTCATGGTTCTTAGCTTATGTTTTCAATAGCTGGTAATAAATCCAGGAGGCAAGGTAAAAAGGCAATGTAGAGTTTTGAAAACAGTTCAAACAAAATGGCAGCAATGATGCACAGCACTGAAATGCAAAAACCAGTTTAAAAACCCAAGCAATCAGGGCTGGATAGAGGGGGGGGGAAGCAAATAAATAAATAAAATTATAAACTGTGTTTATGCATCTCAGTAAGAGAAGGTTTTTTTTATAGAAAAGAAACAACAGATAGAGAAAAACACATAAGATACTAAGATAGTCTGGAGAACCAATGAGACGATATAATGAAAACAAAGCAGCAGTCTTTGTTCTCAATTGTTTGAAAGATTTACAAAAGTTTGAATTACAATTATACAGTAAAGGAACAACTAATTGCTAAAAAGTATGTGTTTCTATTAAAATGAAGGATTGTATTGCAAAATGGGCTAGTTTACATTGCATTATGTTTGTTTAAAGGGAGAAAACGTGGAGGCAGTGACAGACTTTGTATTTCTAGGCGCAAAGATTACTGCAGATGCAGACTCCAGCCAGGAAATCAGAAAATGTTTACTTTGTGGGAGGAGAGCAATGGCCAATAATTCAGAGTAGAGACATCACACTGTCAACGAAGGTCCACATAGTGAAAGCAATGGTATTTTCTGTAGTAACCTATGGATCTGTGAGCTGGACCATAAGGAAAGCTGAGCAAAGGAAGATAGCGCTTTTGAACTGTAGTGTTGGAGGAAAATTCTGAAAGTACCTTGGACCGCAAGAAGATCAAACTAGTCCATACTCCAGGAAATAATGCCCGGCTTCTCACTGGAGAGAAGGATATTAGAGGCAAAGATGAAGTACTTTGGCCACATAATGAGAATACAGGAAAGACTAGAGAAAATAAAGATGCTAGGGAAAATGGAAGGAAAAGGGAAGAGGGGCTGACAAAGTACAAGATAGATGGATGGTATCCTTGAAGTGACTGGCTTGACCTTGAAGGAGATGGGGTAGCGACGGCTGACAGGGAGCTCTGGTGTGGGCTGGTCCATGAGGTTAAGAAGAGTCAGAAGCGACTGAACAAGCAACAATAACATGTTTGTTTCTATGCTTATAGCATGGTCATTTTTGCTCTGAGTAGTTTTGTAAGAAAAAAATCTTGCAATCAATTGTAGTTTTTTCATTATTTTGTTATCACTTGAAAAAGAAAGAAAGAAAATAAAGATCACTTGGAGAGAATATAAATATTTACATCACAATCCCTAAAGTTAACAAACTGATAAATCACAAAACTTTTTATTTACTCCTTTACACTTGCCTTAGTCATGAAAAGAAATAAACAATTTCACCTTGCATATACACACACATCAGTCTAAAAAACAGAACAATTATAAACAAGATATTCATATTTTGTTCCCCCTCCCCTGAAAAGAAATCTCTTGCCCTGTTTCCCATGTTTTACATTTAATTTCAGATATTTGTGCAAGGTGCCAAGTTATATTGTTTCAGAATTCCCATCTTATTGTTTCAGAATTCAAAATGTATTCTCGTTGGTTAGGTGAATTCCAGCTAAGCAGAGGTATATAATAAAAGGGAAATATCTAACAAAAGGGAATGATTTTCTCTGTTGTGATCAGGGAGCATGCGATTTATAAATCCTGAAATGCCAGTGAACAACATGTCTTTTTTCATAAGGAGATACAAAAAACTCTATATGTGCATTAATTTCAGATCATGCAAATAAATACTCATTATTTCAACTGAATTTATTTTTGATGCAATACATTTCTGCTTATGGCACAAAAATAACACTACAAAATGTTGGTTGTTAAGCCTATTTTAATCCCACCATTTTATAAAATTCACATCCATATTTTTAAAAGGTGTGTCTTTCTGAAAGTATCAGTCATTTTAACTTAAATATACCTTGAATGTATCAGAACCATTTTCAAATATGTTACATGATTAGATTAACCAAACTTAAACTTAGGGTAGTTACTAAAACATACCAGGTTTTTTTATTCATTGGAAGTTCCATGATCATGCGCCTGAATATACTCAAAACTGCTCTGCATGCACCAATTTGCTCCTTCAGAAGTGCAGGTATCTCAGTACATGGTTCCAATAAAAATACATTAGCAGCGTTTGTTAAGAATACCTTAATATTTTTGAAAAAAGAGAAAAACACAACAGTAACCAACACATTATATTAAGATTTATTTTATTTTCTAGTATGTTACTATTTCCTATTTAAACATTTAGATGAATATACAAAATCACCTTTTGACAATAGGGCATTGCTTTTGCAATTCATTTATGTAAAAAGCCATACATACCATAGTCCTAAAACATTTTGATCAAGTAGCAATGGGACTTCCTATTACATCTTTTTTTAGCCTTTTGCAGTGCATGACTGTATAAAGCAGTAGAAGACTGTGTGCTTATGTACATCAGAAAGTTTAGTGTGGTGTAAATAGGCCCTTGAGCAGCCCTGGATCCAGTGTGATTGTGCCAAATCCAGAGCTGTTGTTTAGATAGTCCTGGAATACACCCGATCTCCCGGAGATGGAGGTCTACACCTCACCATTTTCATATTGCTACCCTTTCCTAGCCACCTAGGCACTTCTGTTGGTGTCAGAAAGGGATGACTGAATGACCAGCAAGAGTGGGAGTGATCTCACCAGTGTTCCATCTGGATAGTGGATTAGTCTGAATCAAACCTGATCCCACTGTCCAGACTTCCTCAAAGTCCCAAGAAACTCCAGAGTTTCAAAAAAAAAACTTCATAGTGTCTTCTGACTTGATTTAAAGCAAAAACAAAAACAAACAAACAAAAATCAAACCAAATCAACCAATCCTGCAATACACCTTGGTAACTGATGTACATATCGGGGATAGCTAGTGGTTCATTTGCAGTAAGTACAGTTTTGGTTTTTTGCAATGCAAACAAGTCCTGAAGGGATACACTTAGAAAAGATACCATTCAGTGTAATATATTGTCTAATGACTCTCTGCAGGACTGAGAATATCTGGCATTATGAAACCTGGTGAAGATCGCTATCAGGGCATCCCTAGCAAAAGAAAATGCTATTAAGGTGCACAGATATTGCCCTTGTGCAGTTTCCATCACCTCACCCAAAGCTTTCTCATAGGACTAGAACACTGCAGAAAAATAACACTTGTAACTAGTTGATGTGTACATTCTACTCTTTTTCTGTATCTGGCAAGGCTTGTGTTTTCTTTGTATTCTACAGAAAACAAGGGGCTGCATACTTAATATCTAATCTCCTGCTTTTCTCATATACCTTACCTGTAGGGCAGCTTGAAGACCAGCTTTAATGTTCTTGTTTTCATCTTCTAATATACATCCTCTGTTAACAGCACTAGAGAAGGAGTAGGTTCTCCCCCAACTGGAGGATCGTTTATGTCCTGAGTGGCCAGATGAAAGCTTTAAAAGATACATTAGTCAATACATAATACAGGACAGTGTTTGTTGTTTATTCTTCCCCCTTCCCCAATTTTATAAAAATCTGGACACCCTTCACATCTGCTAAAGGATGTGGGGGACAATTTTACTTCATTTTGGAATCACTGGCTGTTTTAGGCCCAGGAGAGGTCTTTATTTAAACAAGGAGACAAATTAGAAGTTGAGTTCTGATTTATTCCCTTGTCAAACAAATATTTCACCTGTGCTTAAGAGAGCCCAAAGAAGCCCAAATATATGTTCCTCGGCATGAATTTATGCATATCACAACCATGAACATTGGAATGTTACTGCAGAAGAAAATGGGAAATTTCAATTGTTGTATTAAATAATTTAGCACTCTATTAAATTAATAGCACACATAAACAGATCATGGATTAGATCATTTATAATCAAGTGGAAATAAACTGAGGAATATCATCAAATAAACAATGCAAACACAAACTTAGAAATATAGAGAGCATCCAAAGATGTCCTATGTTGATAAACAGCTTTTTGATGCAGAAAAGGCTCCATTTAGCAGAACGGTAGATTGGGGAATTTACTGTGAATGTTCATTCTGGCCAAGGGGAAGAAGCCATCCAACCACCCAGATGAGTAAGGGATCATGTATGGAAGAGTATTTCTTATTGAATCCATAGCTTCTCCTCAATTCCTTTCCAAGTCAAATAAAAGGAAAGTGGAAAATGAGATGCTGATTGAGAACGTTGGACAGGCCCAAAAACAAAAGAAATTCCCAGGTAACTAAGGTTAGCAGATGCAAAAAAATCAAGGTCAGCAAAGCCAATGTGGAATAATGAGAACTATTGTTGCCTTTTCCTGTCTGATCTTCCTGAGTGACATTAAGATTAGGGGAGTTGAAAGGAAGGAATTGTTTTGCCAGTTCACCTGGAGGGTACTCTGGGCCTCTATTCTGAGGGAATGGGAACCAAAGAAGTATCTGAAATTCCTGAGTGTACTTTTGTTTGAAGAAAGACCATCATGTCCAAACTCCATTCCCTCAGACTGTATACACCACTACTATAGAGTGCTGATTCTACACCATTGCTATAGACAAGAGTGAAATCATACCCAAGATGACAGGTGACTCAACAGGTCCTCTAGATTTATCAGGAGGTCTGTCGATCTCTTTTTATGTCTAAAAGGGTCTCCTTTCTGATTTTTTTTCCTATTCTCGCTGGATAATTGGGTCATTTTTATTGTTGGTTATAATAAAGCTGTAGTCTTGAAGAACTGACAGGGTTGTCACTAGAACTTGTTGAGCTACTAGGAGTGTATGAGACTTTAAAAGGATATCATCCAAGTATTGATAGATACACATGCCCTACATCAGGCCTCTTTAACCTGCAGCCCTCCAGCAGTTTGGGCCTCCAACATCCAGAATTCCTAACTACAAAGTATCAAGGGCTTCTGGGAGTTTGAGGCTCAAAGAGCTGAGGGGTCCACAGGTAGAAGAGGTCTCCCCTACTTGTCCTGCTTGTATGACTCCTTTACTGGCTGAGACTGGAGGGGGGCTAGATTTCCAACAATGCCTTCTTTTCTCCCCCAACTGGAGGATCGAGTCCCCTTGGGGAGATGGTGGTGGGATATAAATAAAGTTTATTATTATTACTATTATTATTATGATTATGATTATTTTCATTCAGATAGGTTGTATACATGCAGCATGTTCCATGTTGTTCCAAAGGGTCTTCCAAAACAGCAGAACAAATGGGGAGGGGGCTTAAAAACTATAGGGGAGGGCTAGGAGTTAACTTTCTCCATCACTCCATTGACAAAAGTCTGCTTGATCAAACTGAGAATCTGAAGAAAAATGATTTTTTGTACATTGTATCTTTTTAGGACTTTGTCTGCTAACATTTTTTTTCTTATTATGACTTTTGAGTTAGTTGGTGTATTTTGATTCTTTTTTGTAATGCTCTGTAATATATATTGAGAAAGGGCAATAGGTACCTATTTTGAATGAAACAAATACTTTTCAATGCTCCATAGAAAATTAAAATTGAAACTTTAAGAACATACGCTTCCAAAAGTACTGAATCTTCTGTTAAGAATTATTGAATATTTAGTCAATGTATGAAGTTGAGCGTAAGTGTACTTCTGTCACTTATAGTATTTTATTTGCTATGCATTTTGTCTTGTTGCATTTAATTTACAGTATTCTGTTAAGTCATTAAGTCTAAAAGTGAAAATATCACTGCTTATTCTAAAATTTAACAGATAAGCACTGGACTGACTAAGGCCTCTTCTGCACTGCCATATAATCCAGTTCAAAGCAGATAATCTGGATTTTATATGGCAGTGTAAAAGGGGCCTAAGAGAAGAATAGATGCATGACCAGCAATAGATAGTTAAAAGCAAATCAAAAGAACTAAATTCTGTAGTTTTGTATTACTCTTAATATGTTCAGTCTTATCAATCACAATAATTTATTATCTTCATTTTATTATACATTATAAACTACCCAAACTTTTTAGTGAAGAATAGCAACATACATGTTTGCCGTCTGACTCGGTTGTTGAATTATCTGTGATGCCATCATCATCTTGAACAACTTCCTTCGGATCCGGTTCTTCCATGAACATAGGCTTCTCTTGCAGTATCCACTTCCTGTATACTTTCACTACCTTTTCAGATGAAGATATCTCTGATGAAGGCAGTAAAAAAGCCTAAAATGTGAACAATGCATTTTACTGACAAGTAACTGAAATTTTATTGATCTGTATTTAGGGATAATTTATCAGCCCATTCAATCAAGGAAGAAGCCATACTATGCAAAAGAGGGCTATGAAAGGAGAAGCCCACAGGACTACCACAGATCAATCTTTCCAGCCAACATGCATTTTTTATTTTAAAAGGAGTTATGGCATAACATGAACATTCTGTAATAAAACCATTCCAAAATTAAGAAAAACAAAACTGGAAAGAAAATTATATTGATCAAGTTTTTGTCAAGGTCTTGAGTTGTTCAACCTGGTGTCCTTCAGATGAGTTGGTCTGGAATCCACATCATTTCTAATCAACAGCAACAATAGTGGGAATTCTGGTGCAAAGTTTCTTAAGGTACGCTGGATCTACATTTCAGATAATCGAGATTATCTGCTTTGAACTGGATTATATGAGTCTACACTGTTGCATAATCCAGTTTAAAGCAAATAGTCCAAATTTTATATAACAGTGTAAATGGGTCCTCAATTCCAGAGAATTGGCGGGGGGGACGGGGACGACTGTTGTAAGACAATGAACTAAGATCAAAAGATCCACAGTCTCAAAATGCACGGGTTACTTTATGTATTAAATCTCAAAATCAATCTTCTCGATTTCTCAAAGCTAAATAGAAAAATGCAGAAAAATGCAGAACAGAATTGATGCCAATTAGAATGGAATCTCAAACCACATTTCCTCTGGGGTAAAATTTACTGAATACAGAGGCACTTCCTTCATGTAAACAGAAGAGGTGTAAGCTTAAGTCAACCCAAGTCAACCAATCAATCCAGAATACTGCAACAAGTACGACTAGCATGACTTTGCAATCCTTCGACTGCAATAGAGGTTCACATATACTACTTTGAGAGATAGTCTAGGCAACAGCAAAGGTTCACAGATTTGCTAAGGAGAAGAACATGTATATATATTTCTTGAGAAGACAGGAATCACAAATGGAAATCATGTGTATCTTTACAGCTTCTTATGATTGTGCAAATAACATCAAGATGAAATTAACATATGTATATTAAAAAGTGACATTACTATGTTACACCTAGAACAATTTCTCAAACTGTGCTCTTCCAGGTGTTTTAGACTTCAGCTCCCACAATTCCTAACAGCTGTTAAACTGGTTGGGATTTCTGGGTGCTGAAATCCAAAATATATGGAGGAGCATCTAGAATATTTAAGTCCTGAAATTTTCCATATCTGAAAATCTAATGAGGGTGGGGGGAAAGATCCAGAGGCACCATATTTGAGGTCCTTGTTTTTATTTTATATACCTCCATAGTCCCCCCCCCCCAAAATATATATATATGTTTATCCACCAGTTTTATCTTCCACTGAGAATTCCAGACCAAAAAAATTCTATAATTTAGTTTTAAAGCTTAATCACACATTAAAATATTTGTAGCACAAGCCTAAGCAGATTGCTTAGAAGGAAGAACTATTGAAATGAACAAGATTTATAATCCAGTTTCCAAAGTTGTTTCTCAGCTTCCTTGTTTTTCTTTTCCAAACTACATGAATAACCTCCCCAAAATAATTTGAGATTTAAATTCCTTCCCACATAGCTTCAAGACCCAAGAGCAGACTGTACAGATTTATTTCCTCCTGCAATATACTTTGGATGGAGTTTAGGAAATGGCATTTCTCCAAGACCTCCAAGTGATACAGATGCAAACCAGAAATCTATATAGAGAAATCTATAACCCAAACATACTACCTATACCTAATACAAACAGCTACTGTACATGTACAGATGTTTGCACACACTAACCTGCCGAAATACTTCATTGACAAAATTTACATAACCTCGTGTGGACAGAAAGATCTGCTGCACCATCTCATACACTGCCCGGTGTTGCTCCTCAATGCTGCAAAAGCTAGAATCACTGAGCCTCCGCTCAGAGAGAGTGTTATTGTTTGAATGGCTTTTCTCTTGATCTGGTGGAACACTGTTCTCTGGCTCAGGATTTTTATCTTGCACTACGCCACCCACCGTCTGGAGTAAAAGAAGGTGGGGGGAGGGAGAGAATATAAATTATATTTTAGAAACATGCTAAGCAGAAGAAATTTGAGTGAGGCTTACTGTTACTAGCAATGAACACCACCATGAAACAAATGCAGCCCAACAACATATGCAGAGTTGAATTAGTAAGTCCTGCAACAGAACAACTCATAATTCCATCCAATAAAATTTCAAAATGCCATATTTTTATAATGCCCACCTCACATGCTTCTTATGCTTAAAAGTTTGGGGAAAAATTACTCTGGGTCTTTCTGATAATGTATTTGAGAACACAAGCCTTCAAAATCTATATGGGCAAGTGTAAGTTTTAGTAGCTTTGATTTGTTTCAACTAATTTTCGCTAAATATGTGTAAATAACTGCTAGTTGTCACAAGGATGTCAATTAGTAAATAAACTTTCCTTATTTAACTATAGATAACAGTTAAGTCTCAAAGTGTGCAACATTTTAATGAGTGAAAGCAGCTGCATCTATGTAAAAAAATAACTACGAAAAAGAAAAGCCTAAACCCAAGTCTCACTTATAGTAGGCTTATTAAATCAGTGGGATTCACACAATGTGGACCTCATCATTCATATGTTCGTTCAGTAGACCTACTTTAGCTGAGACTAAGATAGGGCTTAGCAACAACATTCATGCCAGAGTTTAAATAATGTGGCTTTAAAAAGTAAAACATTGATTTAAAACTTCATCAGAAATAATATCATAAAATCAGCAACGTACTTGAATGATTCTGGGCAAAACATCTCCATTTTTAGAATTCTGTGTTGGTATAAAATACTTTTTTTCCAGAAAAAAGTTTACAATCCATTTAATAAAAACAACACGAGCAGTCATGTATGGTATTTTTGTACTATAAACGTTTTCATTATTACAAGTTGCACTAACATATGACGGTTTAGGTCGCAGACCAGGGATGTCTGTAAAAAAGAAAACAGGAAATGTATTTTTTCAAGCCCTGACCTTAGGAACACAAGTTCATGGTGAAATCTTCCTATTTAGCAGAAACAATAAAAACTGCTGAATACATAAAAATATAAATGATTATTGTATTTCCAAGACAAACATTTTTTAAAAAGATGTTTGAAACTTTCAAAGTGATTCTCTATACACTACCGGAGCAATCTAAATAGGAATTTAAAAAGCATAATTTGCACATACAATTGATTCTCAGTCCAAATAATATCTTTAACATTTCCTTGTTCAAATTGAACATTTTAATTATACAAAGGATGAGCAAAACTAATTTTCATAATTTATGTTAGCTTTAAATGAGAAATTGAGCTTTTAGTATACCATTGCTAAAACAATGCCTATTAAGACATAAATATTCAAAACAGGCATGCTTACTTGGAAATAAATTTTGCTGATAAAATAGAATTTGTTTTCAAGTAAATATATATAAAATAAGGTTTTAAGACAAATTCTGAACCTAAGCATATGACTTGAAAAATATCAGGCAATTTTTATGTATTTACTGACTCTAAATGTATTAACTTTACAAACCATCATACAGATTATATGATCTATAAGATCACATTTCATGAGTCCCTGGCTAACCAAGATATCTGGAGACACACGTTTCTGTCATTTTCATGTTTCTCTGGGTTAGAGTTAAAATATTCAAAATGCAGTATTAAACTAGAGCTAAATAGGTTATGGTTCACTAAACTGAAAAATATATATTTGCATTTGTATAAACAGGTATATATTTGACAATGAAGTCTCTCTCGGCACTCATTGAAGTATTGTTCTACAAAAGTTTTGAAAGGATCTAAAATACTGTATTTACTTACCAAGCACAGGTTTGTAGAGATTTGTTAGTTTTGTAAAACTAGGAAATAAATGAGGAAGATAATATTTTCTGAACAAGGCAAAAAGGAACTTAAACCCAGTATCATGATTCTCTTTATTCTTCCATTCCAAGCTTGCAGCCTGTGCCAGAGATAAAAAGGGTTTCATATTCATACATGGATTAAAAAAAATTAAATGAGTTTTCATATTTATTTATAACTAAACAACTTTCTTTTCTAATACATACTTAGACCTCAAAAAGGCATGTTAAAAAACATTTCTCCCCATCCCCAGCACATAAATACATATATAAATCAGGAAACACTCCTTTCCTGATGCACTTCTAGAGTAGCAGTGGGGGGATATGCAGCTATCTGGCCACTATTACAGCCAATAGCAAGGTCTAACTTTAGAGATACTTGTAGTGAGAATATGAATGAATAAGTAAAATTAAGGGTGAACCAAGTGCAGGCCTAGAACCAAATGTAGTCTTTCTAAGGTTGTTTTGAGGCCCAAAACAATAGAGATTTTTCACTTTTTCACTTCTTAAAAAAGCTGCATGTTTCCACTGCAACTTTCCTTCCTTCCATCCTCCCTTCCGAAGCATATTTTGCATTCTGTGTACCTCAGGAATGTTCCAATGGCAGAAAGAGGTCTATCAAACCCTCCATAGTTGCCCAAATTCAAGTTAAATTATGTTGATGAAGTAGATTTATGGCATGTTTACTCACTTGGATGACCATATATTTTAACAGTAGTTGAAGGAAGGAGCAAGTTGGGTCCTCGGTAGTCTTTTCACCAGAGGCATGTGGTAAAAGTGGTGTTATTTCCTCTGGAAAAATCTTTGCTAAAATAGAAAACAAAGACACATTTTTCAAAGATTTAAAGATTAATAGCTGTGTAATTTGTCAAAAAGTGCACTCTGTACTTAACACTGAAACAAATATTATGATTGCTGGAGTTCACAAAGAAACATCTCATACTATTTTGCCTAAAGGTCGTATATACACTGTACAATCGGCCCTCCATATCCATGGATTCTGTACTATCTATGACTTGATTTCTTTTTAAATCCCAAAAGCAAAGCTCAGTTTTGCCATATAAGAGATTCCCTTTTACACATATTGGTCCTTAAGCATCCACTGTGTGTATGTGTCAGTTTTGGAACCCTACCCTAGAGGATCACAAAGGCCCATGATAGATGCTTCATTAACTGGGCCTAAATTAAGAATGGGCATGCTCTGGATACTGGTGGGCTGCAGCAGCTGCCCGCGGGCTTTAGAAGGCAGGTGCGCCATTCTGGCTGCAGTTTGACAACAGAAAGTGACAGAAGGTTCGCAGTCTGGAAGTTCTCCTTGATTCATCGCTGAGCCTGGAGCCCCAGGTTTCAGCAGTGGTCAGGGGAGCTTTCGCACAATTAAAACTTGTGCGCCAGCTGCGCCCGTACCTTGGGAAGTCTGACTTGGCCACGGTGATCCACGCTTTGGTTACATCCCGTTTAGATTACTGCAACGCTCTCTACGTGGGGCTGTCTCTGAAGACTGCCCGGAAGCTGCAGCTAGACCAACGCTCGGCAGCCAGATTTCTAACGGGTGCTGGGTACAGGGAGCATACAACTCCTCTGTTACGCCAGCTCCACTGGCTGCCGATTAGCTTCCGAGCACAATTCAAAGTGCTGGTTTTGACCTACAAAGCCCTAAACGACTCTGACCCTGTTTACCTGTCCGAACGGATTCTCCCCTATGAACCATCGAGGTCTTTAAGTAAGATCTTCTGGGGGGGGGGGCTGCTCTCGATCCCACCACTGTCACAATCGCGGTTGGTGGGGACGAGAGACAGGGCCTTCTCGATGGTGGCTCCCCGGCTTTGGAACTCCCTCCCACAGGAGATTAGAACTGCTCCCTCCCTCCTGACGTTCAGGAAGCTAACAAAGACTTGGCTATGGAATGCGGCCTTTGATAACTGAATCAACCTTGGTCCACATGGAAGGAGAATGAATAACTGTGAATTATGACCAGGAATGTTTTGTGATGTAAGTGTGATGATGACAATGTTGTATTGTAATATGTTTTTAATTGTGTAATGATGATGCATTGTGTGGTTTGTATTTTTGTATATGAACACATGTTGTGAAACGGATCTGAGTCCCTCTTGTAAGTGAGAAGATCGGTATAGAAAACTTTTAAATAAATAAATAAATAAAAATAATATAATTTCAATGTGTTATTTTGAGGCAATGGGATATGATTCTTGCTGTTTTGAGGTGGATGACATTGACACAGTATGATCTGGGGAAAATGGATGACAATATAAGCATGCATAAGTTGTAGTTGTCTTACTAGAGGCAGTCTTTCTTCTGTAGTAAAGAAGCATGTGGCAATACTTATCTGTCAGTTTAAAAAATCCTTCTTCCTAACCCCCTTTACATCATTTAAAATATGTTGTACATGTTTCAATAGAGCAATCTTTCCCATCTATGAGAAGGCTGTTCCTCCAGGTGTGTTAGAATATGATTCTCATCATCATTACAACAATTGCTTTTTTTCTCCTATACACATTTATGAGTGAATCCATTAACAAATTTATTTAAATTTATCTGACTACAAGTTTTTTTTAGTGAAATTAACTAAGAAAATATACAGTAACTTTCCTCATCTAAAATTTTGATACAGCAAATATACAATGTGTAAGAACTAACCATCTGGAAGACTGGAAGGAGAGCTAATGATAGTATCCAGTGTACATGGACCTTTTGAAGACATCACTGCAGGAAAACCAGGCACAAGGCAAGCAAAAATTAGCAGCTGCTCCTCGGCGCAATTGGTCTGGAGTGCTTGCAGCCAGAGAAGAAATAACCTGATTCCTTCACATCTTATCTAAAAAAAGACATTTTAATAAAAACCAATGTTTTAAAAACCAGTAATACTGAGAAAATAAAGAATTGCTGAATGTCTTAATTAAGGATTTATCTTATTTGTCTTAAACAAGGGATTATCAGTGCACCAAACCAGTTATATCTATATAACATACTTTCCCCACAAGATATCACTGCTTTTATAACTGTTTCTATATATACTCATCTATCCTTTATAAGTCTACAATGCTCCCTATGAGTTACTACCACATTTCTGAAAGTTCAAATGTCAGCTCAGCACAAATATAGCTCTCCAAACTATGCCCTGGATTGGAAACATGCTGCCTTCTCCTCTTTTCATTCTTCACTAGATTTCTTCTGTGGTTTTGGCTTTTTTATCGTAACTATAATTTTCTCTGAAGTTTGTATCAACATTAAAATTATTCTCTGTAAATGTAATTCAAACAATAAATTTGAGGTATTAGATGGCTATCAAATTATCATTGTTATAACGCAGTTGCAGAGAAGAATGGGATAAAATAGCCATCGGACACGCAAAACATTTTTGCAGGATCATCTAAACAGAGTACATGTGTGTGGGTGTGTAAACACATACATACAGTTCAATTGGACTTACAATTCAATTGAAATCCTATATATTAAAATACTTCAATAACTCCTCCCTGCACAGTTTTAGCAGAAGATTAAAACCTTTCTTATTCAGGCAGGTATTTAAAGAAGAAAGCTTATAAGATGATGCTAAGGGGTGCTGAGGAGTGTTTTATGCATTTCAACAGGTTTTTACTTATTTCAATGGCTTTAAGTATTTATTTTAATACCTCAATAATTCTATTTTAGTATCTATATGTTTTAAGTTTCAAATTATATCCTTTATTGTTTTTAATACTGTTAGCCACTAAGAGTCTTTGTTAAGAGAGAAAAAGTGGAATAATAACACAAATAATTCTAACGTTTTCAAAACCAAAGCAAGACACTATTCAGTTCAACGAGTCTCCAAATACAAACATAGATCTGGGAAGCAGAAAAGCAGCTACTGGATTATTTCAGCAAAATTACATAATCTGCCAGAGTTTTCAAGGCAAAGGTATTGTGTTTATTCTGGTAGATGCAGGTTATCACTAGTTGACAATACCTGCAAAAAGAGTATTTATTAAACTACTTTTCTACACAATAGGTTATTTTGTTACAAAGACCTTGCTGGACAAATCTAAGGAGGGGTAAAATTTAACCTCTCTCTGCTGTGTTTGCTTCATTTTTCTCTACAGCAACAGGCAAGGGCTGGGAAGAGAAGATGGGAGGGGGAGTTGCAGTGGTCTACTGGGAGACCATTTCTCCCACAAAGTGCTCCATCCCACAATCTGCTGGGTCTCAGTCTATCCCAAGAGGTATTTACCTATACTACAGAACACACTTTAAACCTTGTTTTATATGTTGGGTGGCTGATGCCGATATTGGTGTGAAAAAGCTTTCTATAGATCTGTTATTATGGTAGACCCCTGATTGCAGCCAATGGAACTTGGATCCTCTACAGAGGAGGGGAACCAATTACAGTGGTCTAATATGATCCACTGCAGGAAGCTTATAAATATATATCATAATCCTTTGGGGATTTTCCTGTTACCTCGGCAGGTAATCCTGTCAATGTATTGGCTGATCTCTAGAAATAAGAAATGGCATTAGCACAGGCTTTTACACACTGCCCCACTGGAAGAAAAGACAGAACACTTGGCTACCCCTGTGAAGCATCTACCAGACACTTTGTGGACAAAATCATGCAGCTCTGCTCTGATTTGGATGCTATAGTTAATATAGGCTCAGTCAATAAAACCTTGGCATCTGCTTATTGGGAAGATTTCAATTTGTATATCTTGAGGATATGGACAGAATCCTTGAGGACATCAGACCAATATCTAGGCTTTCCTGGTCCTGGAAAACAGCCAGAGCAAGAGGGGCTCAGGGTGAAAGGGGCGAGCAGAATGCCTCACTTCGGCAAGGTAGTTTTCTGTTCTGCCTAAAAGAGTCAGTGGTGAAGCCATTATTGGGGGGGGGGGAGGGGGCTCTCCCTGAACGTACCATGGTAGGGAATTGCAGGTCAGTCTCCAATATTCCCTTCTTACACAAGGTTCTATACCATGCAATAACCTTCCAGCTCCAGGATCTCCTGTACATAATACATTGTTTATATTTCCTTCAATCCTTCTTCCTGCCTGGCTATGAGACAGAGATAGCTCTAGTTATTTGTAAAATGAACTTCGAGAGGGTTTCCTGATTAGTTCTTCTAAGTCTCAGCCTGGTATCCTTGAGTTACTTCTCTGGAATGGGATTTGATTAGTAAGAAGGCAAAAATAATAAGCACAGATGGGTAATGAAGACATTGAAAAATGTTCTACACTTTAGTTCAATCACGAATCAAAATGGAGAGACTCAATTGAAGAAATCAGAAACCAACTAAAACTTGGCAAGGAAATAGGTAAGATCCTGAAGTGTAAAGGCATAAGATTAAATTTCAAAATCTAGTTTCTATGTATGGTTGTAAAATCTGGGCAAGAAAACTGATAGGTAGAAAACCAACTTATTTTAAAGTGATGTTGGAGATGAGTTCTAGATATCATGGAGTATCAAGTATGAACTCCACACTAGAAGCAAGATGATATTTTTGTACTCTGGATATATCATGCGATGATGCAAATCACTGAAAAACTAACTCTTGGTAAAACAAAGGTGATAAGAAAAAAGGATGGATGCACTATAGTTGGGTTGACTCAATAGGGAAGTCATGGTTTTCCTGAGTTTACAAGACATACGTGAGGCAGCTGATTATCTCAGCAATCTCTCATTCACAGTGAAAGCTGCAAAGCTGCCAGAGTCTTAAGATCCTCAGAGAAGGCTTTCTCTAGATACCACCACCATCACACCTCTTTCTAGTGAGGACATGGGAGCTAGTCTTAATAGCTCTCTCAGTCAACAGAATGCCTTTCCATGGGAGTCTGGGCTGGTTTCCTCCATGCTCTCCTTTTGTTAGCAAACAAAGACCAATTTATTCAGTCATTAAATAATTGGTAACCAAGAGCATTTTATGGTTTAGATGTACTTCATAAAAAGAAAAGCAACCTGTTTAGCAAGCCTTGCAAATGTTTGATTTTTATATCTATTTTATATACCCATATACCTGAGGTCACATAAACAATTCTCAGGTAGCATGGGGTCACAAAAAAATTTTTAGGTGGAAAGCAGCTGGGAAAATTTTAAGAAGCCCTGCTGTGACCTATTACACAGCAGATTTCTTTGTTCCATTAAAAACTCACCATTTGTGATTAACTACTTCAACATAAGATTATTTTGGTGGGGCAGAGAGAGAGAAGCATATTGTTGACATCTTGTCAAGTGGTTCTGGACTATGTGCTCAGGATGTATGTGCTAGTGTTTTTATATACTGCCTAAAACTTCATTATCACAATAAGAAGTAAAACAGCAATAGCTAAAAACAAGACTCCTGTTTCCTATTAGTAAAGTTTGTGTACCACATAAAGAAGAAGCTAGATAGTCAAAAAGGCCAACATTCTCTAAGGAAATGCTCAAAAAGAAAATATTTCTGAATGTAGATTTCTTGCTCTGTTAAACAAAGGGAAACCGTGTTTTGCTTTTGATGGATGTGATTGAATTTTACTGCAGATTATCATTACCTGAAATAAAAAAGTAGGGAAGTAGGGAAACTCTCCAGCTCCAAATGTGTAAGACAGTGAGCAGGCACAAAGCCTTGGTACATCAACTACACAGAAGAAGAGTTGATTGAATGACTTTCTGCTTGAGCACAACACACTGAAGGCAGGGAAATGGGGACATCTAAGAAGAAAAAGTGGAGCAGTAAGAAGAGAAGGAGAGGTGATAGTGAACTGATGGAACAACGCGTTCATGAGAGTGGCTCGGGAAAAATGGCAAAGAACTTGAACAGATGAGAGGTCATACGCTCCATGGAGAGGAAGTCAAGAATGTTATGAAGACTCATAAACATACAATGCAGACAACCCAAGGAATCAAATGCTATAAAAGTTAGAGTATTAAAGCCTAAATTTATGAACATGTTGCTAATTAAAATAATTGAAGGAATATCTGAAAACATTCCTAGCCGGAAAACCAGAAGCCTTCAAATGTAATTTAAGGTATTAACACACCGAGCAGCTGCTTATTTCTTCCACTTCCTTACTTACTATGTAAAGTATTGCACAAGAAGGAAGACCAAATGTTGTATTCTCATGAGAATATCAGGAATCCTTTAGACAAATCTGTATCTGCTCCAGTCTACCCTAAGATGGATGCAACAACTTAAAAATATTCTAATTTACCTTCATGTCATAAAAGTTTGTTGGTGCCATGTATTATTGTTACCAGTCTAATTTAGTCACAGAAAGCTACTTGTCTGTTTTCTACAGGTGTTTTGATCAAGGTTGTTAGATTACTGTGATTGGATTACAAGAATACGTGTTAAATAAGAACACTTGCAAAATTAAAAACTATGGACAAGATCCTGCACTATTAGACATAACTACATTGATGGAGTTTTTATTGTCAAGGCAATGTCTGACAATGCTATCTTGAAAAAAAAAATCTACCTGGTATCACCCCAAAAAGAGCACTGCATAATGAGGCACTGGGGAATGGCATCTGTACTTTCCCAATTATGGGGAACACTGAGGTAGAGGGACTTCTTGGGTTCTGGCACAACTGCTTCCCTCAGTGTGCCCTGTGACTGGAAGATTTATTCTTCTATTAAATGTAAATAAGCAGAGTACCAACAGAAATAATATTGTTTTTAAAATCACATAAAATACCTTAAGACAGTTTCCAGTGTGCAAAAGTTTCTTTAACACTGATCCTGTAATAAAAGAATACATTAGGGAATTTCAAAACATTTAAAGACATTTCCTCCCGCCCACCATAAATATCAGGCATGGCCACTGCAAGTTAAATATACTATATATTCTCGTATAAGTCTAGATATTTTGGTCAAAAATTGACCCAAAGTGCCTGGGTTGACTTATTCATGGGTCCATAGTGTATTATAATTCTTTTTAGCAAAAAGGAAACTATATCTGAATAGAGTGACAAAAGAGTGTATGTATAGATAGATGATTCTCTTTATCAACTAAATAAGTTCAGGATGTTTGACCATTTAACCTGAGGCTAAGAGTTTGCTGTGGAAGAGTGGGCTTAGTAGATGTGCATTCATTAACCTTCTATGCCAACATTCAAGTCCTTGATTGTCTAAATCAGTGGTTCTCAACTTGTGGATCCCCAGGTGTTTTGGCCTACAACTCCTAGAAATCCCAGCCAGTTTACCAGCTGTTACGATTTCTGTGTTGTTTCACATAGACCAGATACTTGAGTCAATTAGAGACTCACCTGCATATCTACACTATTATTTCCTCGTAAACTGTGCCCTCCCAGGGGGCATCTCTGCAATGAATTGGTCCATTGAACTAACCAACCACTGGCTGTCATTCATTGTACCCTGGAAAACTCCTCCTGCAGGCTGTGATATCAAGGGACCCCTGGCCAATCCAAGCACACATCCTAATCTGCTTCTTTTTCAGCCAAATGGGGGGAAGTGGGAAATTTGAATAGTCGTCAGAATTATATAAGATGTTATTCATTTTTCTGTATGTTTATGCTTGTGCCTTTTGAATCAAATCACTTGTATAGGTATCATATAGCCATTTCCAGTCTGATTCTACTTCCAAAAGACGCAGTTCTATGATATGTGGAAAAGCATTTAATTCAGGGAGGAACAGATGGACACTTTTTGGCAGAAGGGAACATTGAACTTCAAATGTTCCCTCCTTCCATCAATGAGGAAACCTTTGAAGTATTTGCCTCTTTAGTGTCATGGGGCTGGAGGTAAGGCAAAAAGTTTCCATACTGTCTTTGGAGAAAACTCCATCATGGAGAGAAATGGGTGTCAAATGTAGAATGGCATTTGCCTGAAGGAAACAGTTCCTTTTATAAAAATTCAGAGCAGAAAGCAAGCGAGGACAACATTTTCCTTCTGCCCTACCGGTCCAAGCTGGCAGGATTTTGGATGAGGTGATCTGTCCTTCTTCCCATCTCCCTACAGGAGCTGTGAAAATATACCCTAAAATCAGACTTCAAGTATACTTACCTATGCTGTGGAAATGCCACCGATAGAAAATCCTTTCTGGTAGCAGTTGTAATATTCTCTAGAGAAAACAAGATAATTCATGTATTTATATCATATTGAGTCACAACGGTTTCTCAGTGTCTAGCTTACATCACTTGCATACAAAGAAGTTCATTTTTAAGAAGAGGAAAGTTGGTTATCACTGAGAAACAAACGATTTATTCCATTATTAAGCTTTTCTATTGACCTGGAAAGTTTCGAAGCGTTACTAGCAATGTCACCTCTGTCATTTAAAGCAGTGTAGAAAACTCTTCATTGGTCACTATTATAGAAGATACTCTAAATATTGATGTGTGTTTGCACCTCATAAACACAGAATTATAAATACAGATTCAAGCAATTTCAGAAATATGCATATTTCTTATTTAAGAAAGGAAACATATCTGAAAAGTATAGTGAATTTCAAAGCCAAGCAACACTAGCAACTGGCCACACATAATTTACATTTAGATCCAGAATTGCTAAGAAACTACTGACAAACACTACCTGCAGAATTCTCCCTCTACACAGTTTGGGCCCTGCGTTCGAGAGACATGGGATGCTTGCCATACTCCATTACAATATATTTCATTCATTAATTTACACAATAAATGCACTCTGCTATAGGGCATTTTTTCCTTGAAGGCTTGTCAAAGACTGAGGTAGTAAGCATATATTACTAAATGGTTTAATATGGTTTACTATGCTTTTCCTATTGCCAGGGTGTGCTCAGTTCCTGTGTTGGCCTTATATCTAATTCCACAAAGATACATAAAGTGCCTGTTTTTGTGTCTGAGGTGACAAAATTGGTTTTCTTTATCTAAAATAGTACTCAGAACTATGAATAGACAAAGTTTTCATATTCCAGTATGATATTTTATTGTTTTCAGTTTCATGAAATGACAAAATTGTTTATTCACTAAATCTTACCTGTGTAGTAACACATTTTGAGAGAAAAAAACCTATGTCGCTTTTGTTATAAAATGGACAAGTACACAACCTCCTTGCGTCAAGGACCTATCCTCTTGTAACTCTGTATACTGATGGTGTTAAATAACTGAATAAGGTGCTGGGCTCATGTCTCTGCTAGTAGTCATGATATTTTACTGTTTGCTGTTGAATGTTTACAGTCGGCTCTTGGAACAGGGTATCAGCAGTGGGTAGTCATTGTAGATGTACATGGAAAGACTGACCTTGAATGACTAGGCTTTGATATTCAGGCTTTGATAAGAATGGCTCTGAAGACAAGGGTCCCATCTAATTGTCATATAATGCAGTTTCAAACTGCATTACATGGTCAGTGTAGATGGGGCCAAGGTTAGTCAATAGACTTTACATGTAGAGCCAGTGGTATAACATGTCTGGAAATGTTACAATCAAAGGGGGCACATTATGTTGCTTACCAAAAAGTGGAGGGGATAGTATTAGCATTATTTACTGACTGAAATTCATTTTGTTACATTAAGAACATAAAATATGTTACATATAAATTGGGTATAGAATTATCATGTTTGGTATATCAGAAGTACAATATTCTGAGAAAATAAAAATTATAAATTAAAAGTATTTCTTAAAAAAACCTGAGCTATATAATCCTAAATTGTACAGAACACACGAATTGTGCGAAAATTCCTTGGTTTTGCCACTTTATGAGCACTACGGGGGAGATGGGGGGGGGATTAATTAAGAACAAAAGAAACAATCAACATTAAATAAAACAAAGACTTGTTTGTCTCAAGCACTCAATCCTATAAAAAAATCTTAGAAAACCAACAAACAAGGAATTACAAGGATCTGATACACCTTTCAGGCTGATATGATATGATATGATATGATATGATATGATATGATATGATATGGGGAAACTGGCTCTCCCTCCCCCTGTATAGCAATGTCTAATATATTATACCCCATTGTCTATAACAATTTATATTTCCCGGAAATGTACTAGACTGGCAGCTGATATCTACACATTGGCATCAACCTACAGATCGCTTTGAAAAATACTGCTATATGCAGCTTTGGAAACTATGTGGAGAAAACAAATATAGGCATACTGTTGTAAAACAAAGCTTCTGACAAAAAGTTCTTTTATAAGAAGTCTTTTTATGCTTGCCCAGTCCCTGGTACATTCCTCATCATTTGTCTACCTGGAAACCATTTTTAACAGCATTGGCAATGAGGGGATTGTGGAGGGCTGATTGGTGAAAGAGGACTGGAAGAACACAGACTTTCAGTGGTGGACTGCAGCAGATTGTGATAAACACAGCTCTAACCAAATCTACTGTAGCCATCTCTGTGGCTTGCTATAGGCAAGGTAAACAGCAACAACTTACAGAATTCTTCACTGTACAAAAACCAAAACAGAGAGAAAGGCAGACAGCAGAAAAACTTGTCTCACAAGCTCTTTCCTGTGTCATAAAATAGCATAATCCAGAAGTTTAGCCACCAAAACAGAAATCATCATGAAATCGGGGAACTTTGCATTTTGGGTGCATTTAATCTAGAAAGATTAACATGTTTTTGTTTATTCATGTAATGCTCACCTGGCCTTTTGACACATGCATACTGTTAAGTTTGCAGAACTGCTCTTTTCGTGGTGTACCAACTTATCCCTATTCTTACCATGTTATTTCTGCCTCCAGTACCAAATTTTCTCTTACTCAAATAACGTCTAGGAATACATCTACTTTGTTAACTGAGATATCTCTGCATATGAACATGCCCTTACACATTTTAGTCATCATTCTAAAAGAAAATATTTTATAATGTGTTTCCCTATTTTTCTGAAAAAACAAGGAAGAAAAGTGGAGGACTTTCTCCACATTTTACATTTTTTTCCACCTCTAGGCTTCCACATCTTTAATAGAGGACAGGATGGGAAGCAAGGGATAAGAGAACAATAAACCTATTCCCTTGCTGATGCACCACCTTCCTTGGAGAATTGATTGCTATTTAGCAATATCCCTCCTCTTGTCCATTCAGGATTATAGTCACTTGTTGATTTGAAAAAAATACAAGGAAGCCCTTTAGATCCTAGGGAACTATGTGGTCTATGAAAATACTGCATATTTTTTTGAATGCAAAGACAAGCATGCTTCATCAACAAAACCCAAGTTGTTTAAAGGTGATTCATGAGGTTCCATTAACTTTCAATTCTACTCAAACAGTAGCAAGAGCTTCAAAAATACAATAATTATGTAAATCCACTTCTTAAAATATGTTTACTGATCTGAGATGTAGTTAAATTCTAACTCCAGGTGTCAAGCATTAATAATGCTAATTAACATTTTAACTAATTAGAAAGGAACACTGAGAAAGTCTTTATTCCTGCTGACACAGGATGAAATAAACCAACTAAACAACCAATTAATTTAATTTCCTATGGTTTGCAAATATAAGTGTTTAATCCAGATGACATTTACACTGTTTCTCCATTTTGTGTTCTCTCTGAAGGACTTCTCAGTCTGATTTAATAACAACGTCTCTCCAAAGGCCAAATCTGACACTAATTAAAGAATACTATTGTTAATCAGTTATTTTTCATAAAGCTAAAAGGAAGTTTTGTGTGACAGAACATTTGTTTTAGTTGTAACTGTAAAGGTTTTCATAGCTAAACCAATAGATTTTTAGAAGAAGAAAAAGAAGAAACAGCAATGAAGATTAATGTGTGTGTTTTAACTTAAACACTCCATTATTACGCTTTACTGAGAAGACTCAAGTCAAATGCTCTCCAAAAGTGTAGAGTACAGTGCATTATTGGTAAATAATTAATTTTCAATTACGGAATCCCTGGAAAGCAAATTAAAGTAGCTAATGTATTTGCAATGTTTTATATATTTTTTTAAAAAAATCTTAAAGTTGTTTACATAAATAAAATCAGCAATACAAATCTTTTTAAAGCCTTTAAAATTTTAATGTTAAGCACCAAAGCTTTTTTAGAAGTAAAATCAGTGGAAAATTTGGAAATTAATGGAAAGGTGTATTAGGCTTACCCATTCATATACAGTACAGTTTCGCAGGTTGTGAGATCTGGATGGGTCTATCTCTGCTGGTATGATATATCAATTGAGAGTCCATTCCAGATCAGGATAAGCATAAAATGCAATAGACTTCCAAACCAAAATCATGAAATATCAGGTTGTCCAGCCAAATATTTTAAATCTTTCATTGAAAGAAGGCATCATCTACACTGTGTAAACAGCAGTGACGGTCACACAAACTGTCTCCAACTTGCAGCAGGTCCGAGTACAGCTGGTCCAGCCAGTCTGAGACCTTACAGTCTGTGGTCCCTTCTACACAGCTGAATAAAATCCCACATTATCTGCTTTGAACTGGAATATATGGCAGTATGAACTCAGATAACCCAGTTCAAAGCAATTATAGTGGGATTTTCTGCCTTGATATTCTGATATGGCTCTATGGAAGGGCCCTGTGTTGTCATTGCCCCTTTCAGACAGTTGGAAATCAATTTTATTTTTGTGAGAAAAGAGATGTTCACCAGAAGTAGTTCATTATGACCATGAAGGAACTATAATATTGAATAAATACAGAAATATGACTACTTACTTCAAAAAGAAAGAGAATGGAGTCCAGCTCCTCCCTTTGAGATTTATTCCCTGGCAGAAGGGAAGAAATGTTTCCTGTTATTATGAAGACCATGTACTGATTTGATCATAAATTCACACACAAATACTAAGGAAAATAAAACAAAGTGCAGTCAAATCCCTATTGATCTTTGAAAATTCACAAGTGTTTAGTAGGAAAGAGCATTATTGTCAGAAAACACTTAGGTTTTGTTTAGAGTGTGTGTGCTGTTTGCTTTAACGTATAACTTGAACTGTGTCTTAAGAACAGGACGTATGTGTGCAATTGAGAAAGAGGAGTGGGATGGGAAGCAAGCAGAAGTAAGAAGGGAGAGTATGTAATACAGGAGGCTAAAAAGAGCCACAGGACGTATCTCAGAAAATGTTTCGGAAAGTTAGGGGTTGTTTACTAGTGGTGGAAAGGTGGCATGAAAATATATGGAAATTTGGGAAGATAAGCAACCTCCTGCCTAGAACAACAGTGAACCAATAATTTATACTACACTGATAATGATTTTGAATGAAAATTTCATGTGGAAGTACTGCTTAGATCATTGATTGCACTGCTCCAGCAGGCTTGGGGGTGTTAGAATACTTTAGCTTATAAATATCCAAGATGATTATTTTCCAAATGCAACAGAGAAAGTACCTGAGATCTGGAAACTACATTTTGTTCTTTTAAAGTATTATATATGGTCAACAGTCAGAACTTCCCAATAACAATAACCCTAATACCACTTCTGATGATTCATCACTTCAGATTGGGATATACAATATTTCCAACTTCATCCAAGGAATTAGAGATGAATAGCCGAAGCACTACAAAGTTGCTATGTTCTTGACAATGTGCAGCTGTTTTACACATTAATTTTATTTTATTTATGAAATGTGGAAGGAAAAAATAAGTTTCCAAAATACCACAACCCCACTCTTAGTAAGATTATCTCCAGTAACAACAAATTAAGAAAAATATGTGGATTTCTGTATAGCATCTACAATAATCTAATTTTTCTTTACCATATCACAATTATTCTATTAAATTATGGTATCCCCCTAGTTCCCTTCTACCTAAATTAAAAGGCCAGTGTTTTAACCTTCCTTTGTACAGGAGGTGCTCCAGGTCCTTAACCCTATCAACTGACTATGCAGAGATATCTGATATCAAAAGAATATGAGCACTGTATAGAATGCAGTAAGCTCAAAAAATATGCTATATGGGCTCTTTGTTGTTTATTCCTTTGTCGTCTCATAAGCAAACCAAGAGACTGATTCTCTATATTTGAAATATTTGTTCTCAACCTGTGGGTTCCCAGGCGTTTTGGCCTACAACTCCCAGAAATCCCAGTCAGTTTACCAGCTGCTAGGATTTCTGGGAACTGAAGGCCAAAACATCTGGATACCCACAGGTTGAGAACCACCATTTTAAAAGAAATATTCTTATCCTTTATAGCTTTCTTGACCCTTTCTGTTAAACTGTCTGGCACTCTCTAAATTTGTGGACACCTTTCACAATCTCTGATATATATTCTATCAAAGCCCTTTTATTGTGCTTTAAATTTGTCTCTAAATACCACAGAGAGGTTTAATCATTTTTGGAAAAAAATTCAGTTTTTGTTTCATTAATTACATGTTGTGAATTACATGTGACTGTATTGAATTTTTTCTAGGTTACATTCCACTTAACTTACACTGGCATGATACAGAGTTAACATTCTTTTGACAAGTGTCAATGTATGTATGTATGTGTCTATTCAACCCGCCATATATTGTTGCATTGCAATTCCCAGGTGCCCTTGACAACAGTCAATAATGAAAAATGCTGGGAGTTGTAACTCAATATCTAGAATGACACATGACTCCTACCCATGTGCTAAACCAGAGTCCACCATTACATACAAAAGCCATAACATGCTTATCTATTATCTGATCCTCATTATTATCATTATCATCATCATCATCATCATTCCCCGCCTCTCTCCCTGTGCGGCCTCAAGGGCAGCCAAAACTCCACACTAGACAAGTTTAAATGGTTAATTTAAAAAAAAACAAACAAAGTTTAAAAAAAATTAAATAGTAACAGTGTGGTAAAAACAGAATTAGATGAGAACAGAAATCTCTGTCAGATGGATCCACAATAGGTTAAATAACTATTGTCAATGCCTGTGCTTCAAACTGGAAGAAAGTTTCGAATGGGATGCCTCAGGGTTCAGCCCATGGGTCATGACCCTTCAATATATTTATCAGTGACCTGGGTGATGAGGTGGAGGGAATCTTTATTACATTTATAGATGATACAAAATGGGGAGGGGTGGTTAACACATTGGAAAAACGATTTTTAAAACAACCTTAAAATTGAGCAAAACTTTTTTTAAAAAAACGAAATAAAACAAAGGCAATTCCCCCTACAGAACTGATTACTAAACATCCCTGAGACATATGGAGAAGATACTTTTGAACAGAAAAAATATACTTATGGGAAAATCAAATAACAGACAGATAAACAAAAAAACTCCCTCTTACCTTTTTGTTTCAAGTTACTTTCCAGTGTTATGAAATTTTCATAGAAGATAAAATAAATCTGAGAATAGTTAATCTCAAAAAAATGTTTAAGTTCACTTCCGTCCATAGCATCTGTAAAAGTGTTTTAAAAACAGATTATTGTGTGAAAATGTTATTATCCAAATACATATTTAGTATTTAAAGCTCTATAGTAAAATAAAGTAGCTAGAAGGAAACATTAGAATTGTTAATAGGACCAAATACCTGTGGGCAATACATGGCAGGAAAGGAGGTGAAGTGAAGGCTGAACTCAAGGCCCATAATATAGTTTAAAGCTTGCTAATACTGTTACAATTTTCTGGTATTTTCAAACATTTACTGTTATATATTGTTTCTTTCCTGCAGCCAATTGCAAAAGATAACCACAAAACTGCACAAGAGATTATATACAGATTCTTCTGCGTTATAGCATGGTTAAATTAGGGTTAGTGACCATCAAGCTTTCCAAACTGATGATCATGGCATAAATATACAAGCTAATTACGCCTTCTCTGCACTGCTCAAGACAGTTGCCAGCACTTAGAATGGATAGTGAATGGATCCAGGTAGCCCATTTCTCCAAATTATGACCTCCTCTTATCGGATGGGTGGGGTATTTTTCAGAAGCATAGTGATCTGGGAGGCTGTTCAATAGGCCATGTTCTGAAGCAACAAATTATTTGAAGCTGGCATACATCTCCTCCCATCCCACATGGCTTTTCATGCATTCCTTCACCATAGTTTTCACATAGCTGTCACCACTGTTGCCACATACCTATCCCTGTGATCTTGGATTTCTATTTCTGAATATATTTTTAAAATGAAACAGCTTTTTACATAACAGGCAATTTTCTTACTTTCTCTCAATTATCATGGATTTCTGGATCGCTACTTTTACTGCCATTCCTATTTTGATATCTTTTGTGCCAAAGTTAATTTGAACTGACCCAATTTCAGAGGTATTTTCTTCTAATGAAGTGACCAGATGCACAGTAGTGAAGCAAGCACAACCTTTGGTCCTCCAGGTGTTTTGGACTGCAGTTCTAAGAATTTCTTACCAGTGGACAAGCTAGCTAGGGCTTTTGTGAAAATTGCCTCTTTTGTATTGTATCTTAAAAGAGAAGACCCGGGGGAATGGGCCGTTTTTGAGGGGAAGAATCAGGACTTAAAAGCCAAGTGTCACATATGTAACACTTCCCATTGAGGGATCTCGACAAGCCACAGGTTTTGCAGGCTTGCTTTTAGATAATGCAATGTGTCAGTCTTCAGTTTCTTAGACAATATAATTTTTCCTAAAATAGTTTCAGCCTTTTTTATGTCACACCAAAAGCCTCCAGGGTTCACTTCAGCTAGTAAAAATCATTCCCCCACTGTCTTTGAGTGCCTTCATTGTTAAGGTTTTGGGAAAGACTGTTCTCATATTCATACTATTTTTTTCATACAGTCCAGAAAACTGAAGGAGAAACTTCACTGCGTGTACCATTAGTACTCATCCACTGAGAGATGCAAAGCATTAAATGAAAAACTTGGTGAATTTAAACTTCTCTAGATCAGCCCTCTTGAAACAGTGTGTTCACTCAGCTGGTCTTTATATACAACCTATCAATAGCATCCTCTTAATAATATCACATTAATCGCATAACAGGATTCAAGTTCATAGGTAATCCTATGGTCCATTCGAGATAATGCACTTTATATTTTATTACAACATGCACAATAGTATTACATTTCACTACAATTGCATCTCCTAAAATCTAGTAATATTTTGGCAACAACAAAAGCAGTTATTACTTTTTGAAAAATCCAGTTTAAAATACATCAAACCATTCTCTTATTTAAAAACCCCACACTGCGCACTGCAGAAATGCCAGATAAACATTATTTATTGTTTCATGCTTCTAACAACTGTAGTTCACCAAATTACTGTATCTTTCCTTTTGATAACATCGGTGCTCATGTTAAGGCTATTATCTTTTAGCCATATGAATTTCATAAGCAACTTCCCAAAACATTACAGAGAGAGAGATGTTCTTTGTTCACGTGCTCGATATCATCACATTATTTAATAACTAACACCAGAACTGAAAGCTCAGGTATTAAACTTAGTCTACAAATACCTCAAAGGTCTGATGCAAGAGCCCTAAATGACCCCCAAAACTTATTCAATTAAAAAGCTGTTAAATGGTGCCAAGGCAAAAGATAGTTTTGCTAAACCTACTGGCTGCAAAACAACTACTTTTCTGTGACCCTGGCATAAACATTAATACAAAAGTCATAGAAAAGGATCAAAACATGAAAACTACGAAGGGATTTTAAAAAGAAACTAATGAACCCTAAGTCAGCAAAATCACCACATAACACCAGCTAAGCAGGAATTGCCAGATGAGGCACAAAGCCAAGGTCCAGGATCAGGGTTTAACAGAACATTTGAATGATGCATTCTTGAACTTTACATTGTGTCAACCAAAGGAACATTATTAATAATTATAATTTAAAAGACTGTCAAAAAGAAATTAGCACCCTTAAAAATGTGACATGGGATAGGCTTTTAAAAAAAATCATATATAAAGATTTACAAAAGGAGACAAAATCAGTTTTCCTAACTGGTAAACTCCAAGGACCTATGCTATTAGATCCGGTAAAAGAATTTAATTGTAATTACTGTATATACTCATGTGTAAGTTGACGTCAGGTGTAAGCTGAGGAGAGGTTTGGAGGCAAAAATTATGGGTTTTTATATGAACCATGGATAAGCACTAGCACAAAATAACTATGGGTTTTTATATGACCCATGGATAAGCACTAGCACAGCCTCAGGGGGCCAGGTGGTCCTGGGTACTGCCATTTTCCTGCCCAAACATTCAAAAAGGCCAGAAGCAGTGCAACACTGGAGAGGATAGAGGGAACTGGTGCTTATTTTAGGTTCTCCTAGGACTGACTAATCTCTCACTTTTTCCCATTCTATTCAAAGATACTTGTGTGATTGATTTTGGGTTTTTTTAAAGAGTCAAGGTAGAGTACTTTGACCTGTGCATATGTCAACCCAGGTTTCTAGACTGATTTTTTAAACTAAAATGTATAGATTCATATGCAAATATATATAGTGTATGAAAGTAAGCTAAACTTATAATTCTGATAATTTTGTTGTGTTATGATCAAATTCTATCTTTTAAACTCTGTGTTAAATTTTATTTTATAATAGACATTTCACAAGTAAAAGAAGTAGAACTCTGACTTAGAAGTTCTCTGATATTTATAAACTGTGTGTCTATATTCTGGGAACATTTGCTCACATATGGCACTTGATCTAGAGAGGGAGACACATTTATTTAGTTACCTGTTCAACCTGAGTCTGACAAAGTAGAGACAGTATGTATCTGCAATGACTTCATACTAAGATATAACTTGCCTCACCTTTATAAGTAAGGTAACTGCTCAGGAAGCTATCTCTCAGGTTCAGACAGAATGACCTGATTAAAAACCAACTGCACTGAATAATTTTACTTTATAAGCTGAAGATAGCAAAGCATTCAGAGCCATGATTGCAAAAATAAGTGACAGGCAAAAAATGAAGATCTGACATTTGATGTTCTGTCTATTTTGGAAACCCAGGACAAACAGCAACTTCCAGAGAGGGGAAAATTTTTATCAGGAAATCTAAGCAAATGCCCACATAAATAACCTTCACTTGTTCTCAAAATCATTTTTACAAAATCTTACACCAAGTCTAAAAATTGGTTTAGTTAAGATCTGACAGAATAAATCAAACCCACTTAGAGAATTTATGTGTGCTGCACAGTGGGATGTTTCATCTGCTATTCATGGAGTTTACAAAGTTATCGGTGAATTTTACTAAGGCAACAGGTTATCTGGTTTCAAATGAATTCTGTAGTGCTTCACAAACCACTTGGAAATGTCATCATACTTTTGGGGAAATCAGAAAATTCCCAGATCAAAGCACTAGGAACCAGTCATACATAGGATTTTTTTTTGTCTTGTCAGGAGCGACTTGAGAAACTGCAAGTCGCTTCTGGTGTGAGAGAATTGACCATCTGCAAGGACGTTGCCCAGGGGACGCCCGGATGATTTGATGTTTTTATCATCCTTGTGGGAGGCTTCTCTCATGTCCCCACTTGGGGAGCTGGAGCTGACAAAGGGAGCTCATCCGCCTCTCCCCGGATTCAAACCTGCAACCTGTCACTCTTCAGTCCTGCCGGCACAGGGGTTTAACCCACTGCGCCACCGGGAGCTCCTACATAGGATGAGCAATAGGATTAAAGTGAACTGGAAGTTACTGCAACCTAAGGAAACATTTATGTCAGTAATGTGCACATTATTATTAACATATTATACTTCTAGTATTCTGTTTTAGTTCAATATTGCAGCAAGCACAAGGATAATAAGGAAAAAAAGGAAATAGATAGATCCTGATAATAAGCAAGAATATCAGTTAGTGAAAGAGAGGACTTCTGAAAATGCTACAAATTTGTCCTGGCCATTAGACGAAGCCTTGCCAATAGACTCAATGTTCTCATATGAACCTATGAATAGACTCAATAATTTATCTCTTTAATATAAATGGAGACCCATAGAACTTCCTCTCGGTTAACACAGCACTAAAACAAAGTGATGGAACTAAAGTTTCTGCTTACACTCAGCTCCATCACTAGGTTTAGAACAGAGCTGGGAAGACTAAGAGATTTTCCTGAGAAACTACATTAATGTGCATCAGTGACTCAGATAATACAGGTAAGACAGAAAACACATTAAGAAAGTAGGTTAAGTATGCAATTGTCATAATCTGAATGAAATGGAGGACCGATCCCCCGTCCCTCCGCTTGCTCTATTTATTTCTTTGTGGAAACCCTTTTAGTTAAATAATATCATCAGATGAAGGGTTCATAAAACAATCCAATAAAATGAAAAACAGCAAAAGAAGATATGTGTTTGAAACTAACATTCAAAACTATTTTTTTCACTTTTGGTTTATTTTCTTCTTAAATCACATATATTTTCATCTAAGTACATATTACACTGCCTTGGCTTACTTCTAAGTAGATGCACACACATACAGTAATTCCAGGTCTACTAAA